GACCTCGGTTCACTTATCTCAGAGGCAGGCTGTTAGCCTGCTAAAGAGGACGGATCAAAGTAGCATAAATCCCTCTCGCTACGCTGCCACTCGCAAGCATGAGCTTTAAGAGGCGAAATGTGGTGAGCCAGAGTGGGAATCCAGCTTCTCAAACGTGAACAATATGAAATCAGAGACAAGTGCAAAAATACAGGGGACAGAATTTCACCCTTCCTGGAAGGGAGCAAAATCGAACATTAGATGGAAAACCAGGTAGGAACTTGTTTGGTTAATGCTTCATCCAATTCAAGTAGCTCATCCAGATCAAACAATGTCTCTGCTTTAACAGAGGGAGGCCTGGACAGACCGGTTCCGCCACTTCTTATATTGTCTGTGCCACACAGTGGCAGCCAGACAAAGGTGGCTTTCAGTACCTGCTGCTGGATGTTATGTGTGGGTCAGTGCACAGCCTGAAGACAGATGACTGTTTATGTACCTCAGCAGATGTTGATGGAGGAGATGACACCTTTGGCTTCAAGCAACATGAATGAGACGGGAGCTGACAGTCAAAAGTTTCCGAATGTTTTTGTGACATGTGTCGGTATCAACCAGCTGATTTCATCACCATTATTAAACACAACAGGCTGAGGGTCAAAGCGCCACCAGTGTCTCTCTTATTAAAAAAAATCACATTCATCTCTTCATTTTTTGTTAGTTACCTCTTTCCCACCGTTCTCACGCTGACATTGACATAAATATTAACACGTTTTCTGAGTTTTAATCTCTTCAATGCCATTTTTTTCCTCTGCAATTCATTTAATTTTTTTTTAGAAAACTTCCTCCACAAAATGGATTTTTTGAGGTCAGATTCTGATCAGTTTCTTTTTTTCTGTTTTTGCAAGTACAACAAAAAGTTGTCCAAACAAATTTCCTGATAGATTTACAATGAGCACTTAAAATTCGAATCACATTAATCATTCACTCAACTCTAATTTCCAGTACATGGCGAAATGTCTTCACCAAGCGGACTATAAATTATTATAAACAGTCTGTACGTTTCTCGACTCAGCGTTCCAGTTCTCAGTCATTTAAATTTGTATTGGCATATAAAATATAAAAATATTTTCTTTTTCTTCTTCCTTCATTTTACTTTTACTTTTGTATGTTCAAAATAAATAAATAAAATAATAATAAAAACTACAAATCTGTGGTGCATATTTTTTAAAGCGAGTCTTTCAATAAGGAACCTGCCAAATCCAGAAACTTTAATAGAAAAAGAGAAAATAAGGAAAGGAGACAAATAAGGGAATAGTGACAGAAGGTAGGGCACAAGGAAGAAAGCAGTGATACAAAATAAGTAGGAAAGGCTGAAGGAGGGAAGGAAAATAAGGGATGAAACAAGGAGAAAAGGAAATAGGGAAGGAAGGAAGCAATGAAAAAAAAAATCAAAGTGTAGAACTATTGATACTTTTCCATACTCTTATTTACTTACTCAGACATACAGAAATCAAATTCCATACATTCCCAGAAGTTTTTAAAAAGCATTTTAAATGGAAGAAAAGGATACAAAAATCTTAGAAAGGACATAGATTTCTCTTTTCATTTTAAAAGAACAAACAGGAAAAAAAAGAAAAATTAAGATAAAGTAAGAGTAATAAAAAAATATATACAAATATTATGTAAGCTATGTCAACAAAAAAGAATGTCCAGGAGGGTTAATGGAAGGGATCTCGTGCTTTAAAGAGCAATTAGTAACAAAACTGATAGCAAAAGAGGCTTCCACTCAAAGGCTCTGTGACAGAACGACCTCTAATAAGGACCTGCAGGAACCTGAACTTACAGCAGCATGGCACAAACACCTGGAAGAGAAAAAAAAGTGGAAAAGGCCTCAACTGCCTTTTTTTCCCCCCTCTGTTGAAGAACTCAGGAGTGACAGATGTGCAAATGCTAAACTACTCTCGGTGTTTGCGCAATCGTCAGGAGCGCCTGTGAGAAAGAAGATCCCTCTGCTACCCCCACACATCGACTTCAATGGGCCGCTCCCCGGGGTCAGAGCGTGATAACATCTCTGACTGGAGGCAAGAAACATTTGGGAGCTCGGTGTAGTAGCTTTGAATGACCTGGAGTCGCGTGGAGGTAGTGCTTGTTCTGTGAATAAATGAGGATGTCGTGACTCCACACATCTCCCCTGTGTTGAAATATCCTGTTCCAGGCACTCTGCGTCCAGACTACAAGTCGATGAGTCACCCGCCTCTATCTTAGAAAGGGGAGTGAAACGGGAGGTGAGAAGGTTGAGCCGTGGGTCAGGTCTGTGAATGCAGCTCTTTGACGGACAAGAACAGAAATAAGACACACCTCAGCTCTGCTGGAGGAGAGCTGAATTCCTTTAAGCCCAAGCCAAGACGGGGGGCTTTTATTACTCACTTTTCATCCAGATGAAGGCAGGGAGGACACTTGATGGCCAGCCATGTTTTCCACTTCACATGCCGCACTTTGTATACCTGCCCAAATCCACCTGAGCCGATCTTCTCCCAGTTGCCAAACTCAGAGGAGTCAAACGTCTTTAGCAGCCCCATGTCCTCGTGAGGGGAGTCCGGGACGTCCATATCCATGTCGAGGGACCCACCAACCGGGGGAGGATAATTCCTGTATTCCTTCGTCTCCAAGATAGAAAGTGTAGCAGCACACACACAAACACTAACCTGAACAGCCTGTGAGCTCTTCCTTGTTTGTTGCCCGAGTCTACTTCCCGGCGTGACTCCTCCCACTTCCTCAGGTATGGGGGCTGGGCTAGCTGCTGTGACATCATCTGGATGTTGAAACATGGAAAAGTTCATAAGGGAAAAGTGACGGCCAGCAAGGCACCTCAGTAGCACTGCAGATTGTTTTGAAGACACCCCGAAGGTCTTGGCTTTCTCGCCCTGGAACAACAAACAAAAAACACAGGGTTATATTAGAAAGTACACAAGTAAATTAAATTAAATTACCTGAAAACAAATGAAAAGCACAAAGGAATCCACGTTTTTAAAAGCATTTTTCTTTAGTTCAGGGTTAGTCCTGCATTTATCCAGGATTCTTGACTCTCATGTCCTTAAATAAAATCCAGTGGAACCAAATGCTTTCAAAATTTTTCTCATTAGTAAATACTACAAAGCCCATTGCAAGGGCTTTGTAGTATTTAGGACTGTGGTCGTTCTTTTCAATGTCCTGCAGGGTGATGGGAAGCTAATAATTACAGGACAGTCCTGGAAGAAAACTTGTTAAAGGATTCAGCTACCCTAATCACAGAGGAAATTAATGTGTTAGAACAGACCAGTCAAAGTCCAGAACTAAATCTAATTGAGAAATTGGGGCAAAACATGAAAATTGATGTTTTCAAATGCAGTCCATTGAACCTGACGGAGCTTAAGCTAGATCACAAATGAGAAGTCAAGACATACCCCAAGGACTTGCACCTGTATTTGGAACAAAATGGAGCCTACAAAATACTGATTGGCAGAAAACATTAATGAATAGTAAAAAGCCTGCATCATTTGTCTTACAATTCTGGACTACCTTGTTATTGTCCATTGCATAAAGCCCCAATAAAAGACAGAGTTCATGGTTTTATTGTGACGAAATCTGCAAAAGGTTCAAAAGGGTAGATTCCTCCAAACCAACTGAAAACAGGTCGATGTTTCTTTCAGTGTTTGTGTTTCTTCATTTCATCAACAGTATGAGGATTTCTGCATGCATGAATGTCTGCAGCTTGTTTTCCACCACCTGGATTCACTGAAGACATGATGTCACCTCCTCGGCTAATGAAAAAAACTGGAAGGACCAGATCAAAGGAATAAATATGTCATCAGGAAGGCCGTGGAGCCTAATTACACTGTCAAGAGGAGATGAGTGCTGCTGGTGAGGCGAGCAGTGCTCTCTCCCTGCAGGCGGTGGCCCTGGAGGCCATTACCAGAAGCAGGGGGCAGTTCAAAGGTGAAAGTCAAAAACCGTTAATCGAGCCATTCTACGAAATGCTAATGTAGTCTCGGACGGGTTCCCATCCCCTGAATTACAATTACAATAAAAAAAAAAAAGAGAGAACCTTTTTGGTCTTTCACCGGTTTCTTTGATTGGTTTCATCTACTTGAATAAAAACGTATTTTTCTTTACCGAGGCGAAGACTCTTTAATCGCGTTAACGGTTTGGAACGTTCCAGCGCCCGTGTGCAATAAAATTGCTAGGCTTTGTCGCCATCTAGCGGTCAAGTATTTAATGAGCTTTTATATGTTAGCTAAAGCTAACTTTTTAAAAAAGTTTACATTTTCCTGAAGACGCACGTTAGGCCGTCTTTGTCTTCGTTGTTCGACAACAGTTGTGTCAAGAAAAATGTATCTAAAAAACATTCAAGGAATGTAGTTCTAAAACATGGTGTTGTAAGGGGAAAACCTAGTGGGGTATAACGAGCTAATGTCGGGGTTCCACGGAACATTAGTTCCTTCTGCGCATGCTCAGTGAGCTTTTGTCTAAAAAAATGAATTTTAATTTAATTTTCTGAAGGTATAACCAATGTTTTGGTAATAGTGTACAAGTCTATATGTGGCAACAATCCATTGTCTGAAATAAAGAGCATGGTGTTAAGATGGAAATCTTCAATTAGAACATTCAGACCTGGATAAAATGTCCAGATACCAAGCTTTAAACTGGATGCAACAATTAACTGCTCCAAATACTAATTCCTTAAAGGTAGAATATCCCAAGTTGTTCAATAAAAAGCTGAAAATCAAGAGGGACATACTAATCTTGCACTTTCATAACCTTTGGATTGAACCATCATTTTGACTACAGTTCAGGACACATGCCATGTGCCCACATTTTTACTTTTATCTTCGACATACCAATATGTATGCCGAAGATACTTTTGTTGTACTTCATGAATTTTACTTTTGTTGTACTTTATGAATTTGCAAAGTCAAGTACCAGCTGCAAAGTTGTAATGCAGTGGTATTGAATTCTGTGGAAGAAAACACACACAAACACAGAAAAACTGAAAAAAAAAACAACTTTTTTTTTTAAATATAAACAAAAACTACATTTTACATGAATCAAAAAAATATTTTATCAGTGAACTTTAACATAAAGTTCTCCTTTGAAATTCACTTTTACAATGCAGATTCATCTGAATAACAGGCATGCTTTGAAAGGCTGGAAAAGGCAAGTGGATGTCTGAGAAATATTGCTTTGGTTTCGACTACAGGTGGTAGGTCGCTGGGTTTTGGGTGGACATACCATTTGTTTCATGCTTTATTTTGTCAATAGCAGCCACTTAATTCTGTCAAAATAAAAAAAAAGGGAAAACAAGTCTGTACACTTCATCTAGATTCAGAGGCATCTGAGGGAAATCAGTCTGATAAGAAAAAAGATCTGCTATGTGACAATGTCTAAGTGAGGTGACCGGCGCCTCCAGTAAGTACTCAGTAGCTGAACATCTGCTGGGCAGAGTTGCTCTGCTGCTGCTGTTGTTGTTGGGTGGCTGTGGGATTGCTCTGGGCTGGATCTGGACCCTGATTCTGGGTCTCCTGAGGTTCTCCGTCCATGTGGGTGACCTGGCTGCCCTCAGCAGTTGACACAGGCCTCCAAGCCAGAGTTGGCGCCTCCAGCTGGTGGCTAATCGGGTTGACCAGAGTGGTAAGGTTGATGAAGTGGGCCACGGACTGAGGTGCTCCACCGTTGGTAGGACCCACCGTCTCCGGGACAAGTTCAGACGGTCTGTTGTGGAGCATGGCGGAGCCGCTGACGGTGTCGAAGGTGACGGTGAGGATGGAGTTGTCTAGTGTGAGGGGCCGATCGGTGGCGGTCAGGTGGCCCACGGCTACCGGCTGCAGGCTGGTGAACTGGGCTTGGGAATGGCTGGTGATTGGTGTAACGGTGATGTTGGTCAGTCCGACCGAGCTGCTAGGGGAGGGGGTTGATGGAGCGTTGGGATCAGTCAGGACCACAACCTGAAACACCAGACAAGGTAATTCACTGATGACGTCACAGAGAGGAACATTACTCCAGTTTTCCTTCTGACGAATATTCAATCGTAATCTCGCTACAATATTGTTGCATCTATTTCTTCTTAAGGAAAACCCATTGTCTCCTCTCTTCTTCTAAAAATGACAAACTCTTAAAGGGGTGCCTTTTATAAAAACTTGACATCTACCTGCTGGATGCTCTGCACAGCAGAGCTCGTCTCCGTCTCTTCGCCAACAATGACGGTGTTGAATTCAGGCATGGCCGTGTGCCTGGGCTCAGTGAAATCGCTGTAGTCGTCAGACTCGGAGAGCTCCGGTTCCACTGGGACTCTCTGCTTCTTCTTGTGGTGCCGGTTAGGTCGGACAGGCTTCTCATGGGACATGCCGTCTTTCTCCAAGGAGAGGGTTGGCTGTCAGACCGGACCATTCACAAAAAGCACAACAGCAACAGACCAAGTCAGATTTGTTTTTCTGTCTCCAACCAGTGTCCCTCTCTGTACTGAGACATAATATCTCCATATAATCCTCAAGAGTAAACAAACCTGCACAATACTGATGGAGGAATTAGTAACTGTTGAATTTTCTTGAAAATCATCATACTCATCAATTCTCATTGGCGCCACCTGGAGGCAAAAAAAAAGGAATAGTTACATCAGGGAGTCTGGGTGTGAGGTGGGATAATGGGTCAGGTCTGACTGCTATCATACAGAGGAGTGTGTAGCGCAGAACAAAATTCACACAAGTAAAACTAGCACTACTTCAATTTTACTCAAATAAAAATACAAAGTAGTAACCTAACAAAACTACTAAAGTCAAAGTGAGAAAGGATTTGGTAAAAATGCCACAAAACTCCTTGTTTTGAGTTCATAACATATGACTTCATTAGGACTGAAATGATTAATCAGACTAATCGTGATTATTGAAAAAAAAAATCATTGGCTATGTTACTAATCAATTAATTGTTAACTGGAGTATACAAACTAAAATAAGGCAGTTTTCTGAAAGAACCACACCCCTACAGCAGTGATTAAGCTACAACTGCATTTATATATATATATATATATATATATATATATATATATATATATATATATATATATATATATATATATATATATAACTTGTTCTTCATTTAGTAAAGTTACTTGCTGTGACTATATATATTTATATCTATATGTAAATTTTACTCAAGTAAGAGTAGTGATATTTCATAATCTCAATTAAGTAAAACTAAAAAGTATGGTGTAGTAAAACTACTCCCAAAAAGTTTCTCAAGTAAATCTAAGTAATTGCTACCCACCTCTGATCATGTAATCATCCCTCCCCTGGGGGCTCGTCCGGGCTTACCTCGGGGTGTTTGCGGCGCAGATGGCGGTTCATGGAGGCACGGGTCGACACCTTAGTCCCACAGAGGTGACACGACTGGGCTTCCACCTTTTCATGGGTCAGGTGGATGTGCTTCTGCAGCATGTACTCCGTCAGGTACTTCTTGTCGCAATGTTCACATTTCCACGTCTTACCCACTGCAGCCACAATGAAACAATGGTCAGTTCAGGACACAGTCGATCACTCTGTAAAATGCTGGCTACATAAAATGTTTTGTACAACGCAACTATTTTAATTAGTACATTTTAAAGATTGCATTTTATGACAATGTAGGAAGTCTCAAAATAATACACATTAACAAAACCTCTTCTCATGAGAGCCTGACCTGTGTGGATTAGCTTGTGCGTCTCCAGGGTTGTCCTCTCGCTGAACGTCTTCCCACACAGTTCACACATAAAGTCCTTAACACCTGCAACCAAGTTGGTATTGCGGTCAATCAGCAATAGTATGAATGTTTCAGCTAAATGGAAAAGTTCACTGAAACATCCCAAACCACCTGTGTGTCTCTTGAAGTGCTTCAGCATGTTGACTTTTTGGGCAAACTTGCGGTTGCATTCTTTACACTCGTACTCTTTGATGCCTTTGTGAAGCTTCATGTGGTGCCTCAGAGCGTGCTTGGTTTTCATGCCTGCAAAGGAAGACATTGCCAATCTATAATTATAATCCGAGTATAACTTAAGGGATCAAGCTTCGACTTAGTGAAAAACATGAGGGGTGTGATGCAAACCTTTCCCACACTCTGCACACAGATAGTCCCGATTGTCATCGTGAACCCTGAGGTGCTCCTTCAGCATGTCCTTCCTGGCAAATGATTTACCACATTTCTCACAGCAGTGGCTCTTTACCCCTGGATCGTGACATCAAAGATATGTTTTGGCATTCAAATAAACAGGAGAAGAAAATAATTGGATTTTTTTTCTCCCCAGTTCTTTCCAGAAGGTAAAAATGGAAAAAAATAATTCACCTAATATGTTGTTGCAGTGTTTTGTCAATGTCTACATATCAATTAAAGAATATCTTAAGGATGGAGACCATTCAGAAAGCAATGCTGATACAACTGCCTCAACTAAAATCTTTTTGCGGTGATTGAACACACCAGGCAAAAGTGCGATTAGCTGAGAACAACCCTCTTCAGCCGTAAACTAAAGGAAAATGGGCTCAACAAAAACAAAAACAGCCAGCCGACTGTTTTTTTATGAGGTCAGTTCCTGTCTGCCTTAAAGAACTAGCGATTGACTAGCAAATCCCAGAACTATTTTAAGGAGATAACAGGAAGGCTGAACAAAGCATGCTCAGAGCATATTGTGTCCAACATGAAAGCGACTTTAAAGTTATTCCGTTTTAAGATCCTACAGAGTTCCCGGCGCGCTGCTCACCAGTGTGGATAATCTTGTGTCTTTCCAGGTTGCCGATGCTGTTGAAGATTCGACCGCACATTTCACACGGATGGATGTACCTGGAGGACAGAACCAGCTGCAGTTTAACTCATCTTTCATGTAGTTTCAAGCAGCGCGCAATAGAGGCGCTCCCTGCTGACTTACTTCTGCACTGCAGGGTCGGGCAGCTGCTCCCTGTGAATGACCAGGTGAGCGTTGTACGTGGCCTTCAGAGCAAAGTGACGGTTGCAGATCGCACAGCTGTGGCCTTTCTCCTTGTGTTGCTCCATGATGTGCTTCAGGTAATCTCTGCCCTTCGCAAACGACAACTAGGCACACGGAAGCAGATGACCTGGGTCACGTACTGATCCCTGAAAACAGCCTCCTGTCCGGTTTGCATTTTCTGCTATTTTTTTTAAACCAAAAAAATTAAGCTTACTTGACATTTCTTGCAGTTGTATTTGTGGTGGTCAGGATCATCGTCCTCATCTTCTTCATCCGTTTCATCGCTGTCGTCTGGCGAGATGCCGATCTTCTTGATGAAGTCCTCTCTCTCTTGCTCATCCATCAAAGCAATGTCCTGGAACCAAAACAACTCCATTAATTTAAATGATTTTTTTTTTTAACAGACATCTTTCCTAAAGTTGAAAACGCAGATCGGAGCAGGACTCAAGGTCACCTTGAAATGCACGTGGATGTGGTCCCGGAGGACGTCCACGCGGAAGAACTTCCGCCCGCAGATCTCGCAGGTGTATTTCTTGTCTCCGTGAGTCAACAGGTGCTTGTTCATGTTGCTCCTGCAAGAAAACACCTGCGCGCACAGGCACGCAGTACGTGTGTGACGAATACAGCATCCGAGAGCGCTTTTACTGCATGTCTGCTTCCAACCAGGCATCAGACCGGTCGCCGGCAGCGCCTGAGACGAACTCTTACCTTGCCACAGATGGGGCAGGGAGACGGTTCCTTCCTGTACTTGGTCCCTTCCTCTCCGTTCGCCTCCAGCTCTTCTTTTTTCATCTGTTTTGGGCCTGTTTACAAGTATAACAAGTTGAAGACGATGAGGATGGCCCGGCTTGGCATGTCTAGAGCATGACATTTTTGCCCTTTCTTCTTTGCAAAGTAGCTCAGTTCTGTAGGAATTGCTTCGACTATGTAAACAGTTCACGTTAACTCGAGTTGCATCTTGACAACTTTTCAAGAAGTTGATTTTTTACGTATTAAGAAGATACTTGAAAAGGTTATTTGGACTTTAAACGTCAACTATGCAAAAAAAAACTTGTTCTAGGATGATTATATGCAGCAATTCCATTTTTTTCTTTATGTTATTGCAAAAGTAAAACATACCAAAGAAGTGCAACTCTGACCGCAAAGTTTAGAGAAAGTTGCCAGATAATGAGTCATTTTATGCTGCAACAATCGCAAGAAAACGTCCCAACATTTTGAAGACTGGTTTAGGGTCATTGTCCAGTTGGAAGAAGAATCTCCACCACAAACTAAACCGCTCTCCCCGGCTCTCCTGATCCTGCTCTCCGGTCACAGCCACTCACCCACGCTGTGCCTCCTGTGGTGCTCCTGCATCACGTCTTTGCGGTAGAACATTTTGTTGCAGATCTCGCAGGAGTAGAGCTTCTCGCCGTGCTTCTTCTTATGCTTGGAGAGGTTGCTGTTGGTGGAGAAGAATCGCGAGCAGATGTCGCACTGGAACGTCTTGTCATCTGGGGACGTGAGAGGTGGGACGGAATGAAACGAGAGAGCAGATCCAGGCGGGACACGAAAGCGCCTCGGAGCGTCTTGCGAGAAGAGCAGAGAAACGGCACCTGTGCGGCAGTTGTGGAACTTTAGAGCGTTTTCCAGGCGAAACGATTTCTCGCATGTGTTGCACTTATATTTGTAGTCTTGGTCAGGCTGCAGAGAAAACACAAAGACATCAACAAGCGGGAGAAGGTCCAAAGCCGGAGGAGGCGTTCTGGAGTGTCACTCACCATGTTCTTGCTGTGCTTGTAGGAAATGTGCTGCTTCAGACTCTCCTTGCGGCTGAATAACTTATCGCATTCGTCGCACTTGAACAGCTTATCACCTGAGACGGGCGCAGAGGAATCCTGCGATGTTACACACTGCACAGCCACTTTGCTCGATCGACTCCGGTTTGCGAAAGACGACACCTGGCTCTTACCGTGAGACCGGATGTGTCTGTTCAGGTTGCTGCTGTTCTGGAAGATTTTACTGCAGAGGGAGCAGCGATAAACCCGCTTGTGCTCTCTGGCTTTGTGCCTCCTTTGGACAGCCGCGCCGTCGGAGGGCGTGAGCAGGCTGCTGCTCTCTGAGGCTGCGGCCGCCTCCGAGGCCACCGGCTCCAGGCCTCCCAGCATGGGCTTTATGTCTGCACACGTCAAGAACACACACACACACACACACTGATGAGTCAACATAAGGAGACCTGCTTTTTAGCTGCAGTATCTCGTAGGGCTGCGCCGATTTAGTTAACTTTGGGAGGTTCAGCCAATATTTAAGTGGGAAACTGATTTTCTCCATCTCTGCCGTCCAAGTTAGTGTATCTGAAACTAATTTAAGAAAAAATAGATGTAAAAAATTTTAAGGTCAAAGAATCAAAATCCAAGTATCTGCTCATTTGTTTAAGACTCATCCAAAAAGCCAGATTTTTGGTGAATTCCTTAGAAGCCGGACTCTTTCCTTTCTTACCTTTGGTCCTGCTTGTGAAGGAGGCCGCTCCAGGCCTGCGACCCCTGGCCCTCCTCCCGCGGCCCTGCCCTCTTTTACGGCAAACCGGGGCCGTGTGGGGTTTCCCTTCCTCAATACTGGGGGCAACCAAGGACTCCACTGAGGCAACCTCACTGCTGAGATCCAGGGTTATACCTGGAATCAGTAAAAGGGAAATAAATGTATTGGAGCACGGAAACATGTCTGGATCCCCATCCTATTAAGAATAAATACTGAGGACAGAAAGCTCAGAGAAAGCATTGCAAACTTGACTGAAATTTAAAGCCGCCTTTTACAGATTTGTGGGAATTCAGGTGATTGATGCGTCAAGTTGCTTTACCTGCATTGTCGTCTTCAGCCGTGTGAAGCAGCAAGTGGGCGTCTGATATCTTCATTTTAGCAGAGGACAATGCGACATCTGTTCAGGAGGAAAGAGCAGACGGCACGTTGTTTCTACACCGGCTCACCAGAATATGTGCTGTAAAGTCTTTGTGACGCACAGAGCTACTCAAAGGTGTTCATGGACCTGTTTCACAGTTTGCCGCACTGCAAACCACAACTTTCACTGGATTTTATTGGGACTTCATCAGACTCTGGGTTCACCGACTGCAGATTTCTCACTGATCCCCAATTAAAAAAAAAAAAGCCTAACCAGCCAACTCTAAATTTGGCTGATAAATGTATTTATTTATTTTGAAAAGTTGCTAAAAATAGTGGTAAAATTGCTGGTTGGCAATAGTGGGGTGACCATTGTTAACCGCACACATGCAGAGAGCTTCAGGAGACGGTGGCTGATTTTTTTTAGACCTTTGTGGAGACAGAGAAGATGGATCAATAGATGCTGGCCAATTGCATTTCCCAAATTTACAAAAATTGAGGCTGATTTATGAGGGCACCCTTACATGCGGCAGAGCGACAAAAGCAGAGTGTAGTTGTGAAGAGGAAAAGGATGCAAGTCTCGTTTCAGTTTTTTGCCACTAAAAGTCCCCAAAAAATATGGGACGTGTTTGTATTGGAAGTGGTAAAAATTAAAATGAAGTCAATATTTTCCACTTGCATGATTGTTTTTCTCATGCCTTGCTCTCTTTCTGCCAAAATACAAAATACTTCAATCTGGTGCGTTGGTCTGGACCAGTGGTGGTCGATGGATTGGATGGAGCTCGTATTACAATTCGAGAATCATGAGTCAGAGTGGCCCAGTCAAAGACCAGACCGAAATGCAACCAAGAATCTGTTGCAAGATTTGAAAACTGGTCTTCACAGACGCCGATAATAAATTACGCGCTACTTTCTTTTAATCTGTCGCATAAAATCCATGCGAAACACGCTGAGGTTTGTGATTTCCGGTTACCTGGTGGAGGCAGCGGTGGTGGCAGCTTCAGCATCGGTTTCTCCATCTTCTTGGCATAGAAGGCGCCATACCAGACTCTCAGCTCCGTTCCTGGGAGCACGTCCTGGTAAACAGCAGAACCACAGGTAGGAAGAGTGCAACCCTCGGATAGCATGATGTCCCGGCCAGGCTGGGCGAGGGTACCTGAGACGTGTTGAAGTAAACGTCGTCATCCTGCTGGTAAGCGGTCAGGTTTTGGTGCCTGTGGTCGGCGGCAGGTCGCACCAGCATCATCCAGTTGCAGTCGTCCTCGCTGCTGCAGTCAAAGCACACCACGGCTCCGTCCTTCTGGAAGATCTGCCCGACAGACGACAAAGTACACATGCCAGGACGAAATCTTCCCAGCACAAAGCAGGGCTTGAATCGTGCTTTAAGTCGTGAGGGTTTATCTGGCCGCACCTTCAGAGGGAATGCTCCTTCGTTCTCCAGAACCGGCACTCTCTTTGCTTCGAAGGGTCCGAAGCGGGTCCGCTTGACCAGTCGACGCAGGACGAACACCCCCTCCTCTCTGTTACCCACCTCTCTGATCTCCAAGCTGTTAGGGAGAGACGATCTGACGCAGGACAGAGAGCGGGAGTTTGTTTAAAAAAATGAGCAAAATCCAGCAGGATTAAAGGAGATGCACATTAATAATACCTGCATTAGTGGGGTTTGTTGGAAATAGCTAAACAGGTGAAGTAAGGGGGCTGAAATTTATTTATTTTGTTGGTTTGAATTTTAGAGTGGAGTTTGGAGTCCAAATTTTTTAAAGAAACAAGCCGAAAACAAGTTGAGGTCAAAGTTCATCATTGTACATTAAGAGACGATAAAAAGAGTTGCACCCAGGATTTGAGTGTTTTTTAATTTTGTTCTTTAAGAGAGCACCAAGTAGTGGTGTTCATTTATTGCACCGTTTATGATTTATTGTGGAAAATGTCCCGTTGTGATCAAATTTTCGATGTATTGTTGTCTAGATAAATTTTAATTAATGACCTTATTCCTTCCCCCAAAAAGGCCAAATTATGGAAAATGCTACGTTCGCTCTTTTCTCCTTTGATTGTTCTGCGAGAGCATCGATAAATATCAGCCATTTGGAAATTACTATGCAGTTATTTTGTGCAGCAGTGTCCCGGAGAAGTCATTTTTACCATGCGGTTTTATTATCATTTTGATTTTGTTACAATAGCACCACCAAATAATGCAATAAATGTAGAAGTCCATGTCGGCCCGTCCTTATGTCCAATGCAAACAACTGCAGGACAAAATTCCTCCACAGTGATGCAAAAACTCACTGCAAGTTTTTCAAACATTTAATGGCAGATGTTGCTGCATCAAGATGTTTTTTTTTCTTTTGTATCTTGGTAAAGGAAATAATTTCAAAACAATTAGTCTTTACTCAGGGTGCATTTTTTTTATATCAGGGCTGGGAAATAAATCAATCTATATCGCGACAGACACGTCATCAATACCAACAGAAAATGCACAATGCTTGTTCAATAATGTCACTGTACTCTGCTCCATAACCGTACAGCATTCTGGGGGATGTAGGCAGAGGAAACACTTTAGCCTCATCTTCTCACAGGTGCCATCAACTAACTTACTTCGCTCTTTGGTTACCCCTGCTGAGTAATTTGATTCATCACTATGCCTCATAACTGCACCACCAATAATTGTCCATCCTCAGTAGTAAAACGTCACAATTTAGTATGATCATAGATAGGATTCGGACATTTTTATTATTTCCAAAATAAATGGAAGTGCCGAGTTTTATACATACATATAAAAATCATGGCGTGGAGTGAAGGGAGGATATTAGAACAACACCTCGAGATTAAATTGTGGATAAAAGAGGCAGCATATCATTATCGACATCGACTGATATGAAACACAAATATCGTGTTTCGTATCGATATTTCATGTCGCCCAGGCTATTTTTATAAACACATTTGTTTGATCTGAAGCATTGCCACAAAAAACAAACAACCAAAAAAATCTAAAAAATATTAACCTGTGCTTCTAATGTTCTAACTTTAATAACTACTATTTCAGTGCTCCCAACTCACCGAGCCCGGCTGAGGACGAAGGAGTCCTGCACGGTCACCAGGGGCCCCAGCTCGGGACACTCAGAGTCATGGTACTGACCACAGTCCTCGCACCCTGTGGAAGGGATCACATCTGTCACCACAGCCTGCTCCCACGCTGTCAAGAGTCAGAGTACAGCGCCGGGTGGGTCCATACTCACAGATGAACTCATCTGGGGTCTGCTCAGCCATTACGCCAGCCTGCACAGAGAGGAGACGGGTTTTTATTCCGAGTTTGGCCGTGAAGAGAGGAGGAAGCAGACAACATTCGTGGTCATTTGAACGCAACTACTTGTAGGAGTGAGTGGTTTGAAAGAGACGAACCCGCAGAAGTATTCTTTTTTTTTTACGGTGCTTTTCGGCTGTACCTGAACACATCAACCCCTCTGATATATGACAGCGTGTTTGAAGGCACTAACTCCGTTTTTTTTTGTTGTTGTTGTTGTTTTTTTTTATTTCCATGTTTATGAGGCTGCATTTATTGATTTATTTATTTTCCTTCCAATCTAAGGAATCCGTGTGAGAGTCGGGATCCAGGATTTGAGCGGTGCCCGAGCTCTAGCCGGGTTTTAACTCCGATCTGAGCGGCTTCTCTCCTCCACAATGTAACAAAGAACAGTCGGCATGGCGGCTGGATCGGAGACGCAAACCCCCAAACCGGAGTCGGTGCTGTTCGGCGGCGGGGTGAGAGCCGTGGGAGCGGCTCAGAGGAGGCCCGGGCGACCCGGACACACCGGCTGCACCTCCGCTGGCAGACTGCGTCGCCATTTTGACGGAAACGCCAGTGAATGAGTGAGGAAAACACGTTACCTTCTCTGCAAAACAGCCTTCATTTAGCGAGTCCTGACTCCGGGTTCCAATCCGCTCCAGAAACGGCGCAGGACCGGAAGCGAAGCCGAGCCCATTGCATCTTGGGAGCTGTAGTGCTGGGAACAGTTTGGGTTTTCTTTTAGCGCTCAAAGCAGAAAACGAGAAAAGACCTTAGTTATTGCCGCCGTTTGTTATTCGAGCGTTGTTTCACTTTGACGTTACTCTATGAAAACATGACTACGTGTGTTTGTTTTACATAATATCATGACGGAATGTGTTTAACATAAACATATTTATAAGTATGTAGCTTATTTAAAAGCCAATATGCGCCATCTTGCAAAGGTATTCATGCTGCTTTGGAAACGTAAATATATTCGAGTTGTTGTCTGTTTTAGCCAAAGAAAAAACATGACGCTTAATTGTGAAACGAAAGAAAAACTTAAGTGTGAAAACTGTATGAAATTAGCTTTTCGATCCCCGTACTATCAAACCCTTTTGTAAATCCCACAAGTTTCTGCTTATCCCAAAACTGGGGTGTATATTCAGAGCAAACACCCTGAACGCACCACTGGGAAACCTGGAGGTGGCAGCATTATGCTGAGGGGAGGCAGTAAGGGACGTGAAGCTTGTCAGGAGGATGAGTGAAGCTACATTCAGGAAGCAAAACGTTTTACAAACTGCTAAAGGCTTGAAGCCAAGGTGGTTTGCAGTAAAAAAAAAAAAAAAAAGAAAGAAAGAAAGAAAAAAGAAGCGCGTATGCAACTTGAGGTCCTGGCTATTAAATCTAGTAAAGACCAAAGACAACTTTTGAGACGTCAGACAAAGCATTACCTCTCTAAATATTGAGTTGAATACAAATTGTTTACATTTTGAAACCATAAATAAATAATTACAGCAAATAAAAAGTTCACTCTCTAAATTCTCCCTAGGTGTGGGTGTGTGTGTGTGTGTGCATGGTTGTCATGTCTGTCTCTGTGTTTGATCGACTGGCGACCTGTCCACGGTGACTCCACTAGGGACAAGGGTCTTAGAAAATGGATGGATGGATGAAAAGTTTAAAGAGCATTTCAAGAAACTCATACTTTGAGAAATGATCAGCAAAAACAAGTCAGAGCTGTGGTCTAAACTGGAACAAAAGTAGACAAATAAAACTGACGTATGTTTAAACTTCAGCTGCTGGGTCCCGTAAGGACTACTCGTATCCCACCGTCTGTTTAAAACGGCACACAGAAAACGTACACATCATTCAATCAGCATCAGCACAGCCTCGTGTAGTCACTCAGTATTTATTGCTGGAAATTAAATAACTCCATTGGATTTCAGTTCCAAAATCTGACATTCTGCAGCAGCACTGCAGCCAATTCATGCGCACAGAACAGACATCGTTAAACAAAATGAAAAACATACAAAGTTAAGCATTCTGATAAACATACATAGCCCTGATGCTTATTAGTGAATGAACAACAGGGAAGTTCTTGAGGGTTGCGGAGCTGGAGGAGATGTGAGAAAATCGTTTTTCTCTTCCCCGACCTCAGTCGTGACCGATTCTTAAAGAAACCAAACAAGAAAAGACAGTAGGAGACTTAAACTGCTGTCATGAATGTACAACGATGCAGGGAAGCCAACAACCTCGAAGGACGCGTTGTCCTTAAGACATAAAAAACAAAAGAAGTGTTTTTTTAATCGTCCCGTAACGTAAACATCCAGGAATTCGATATGTGCATAGGCTTCTAGGTTACAAACACAGCTGATGGTGCAAGAGGTTGTATGGCTGTCTCTCAGGGCAACCCTAACAACACACTCCAGTCCTTTAGTCTTGATGGATGAGGAAAGCTGAGGAACATGCCTAAAGTGGCTGAAGTCGTTTTCCGAGGAGCTATAAGGCGATCCGTTAGCGCCGTCTCTGCGCTGCATCTGTCCTCCGAGCAAAGACATCACAGATAAACAGCAGTTAAAAAAAGGACGCACAGTAACGAGAGAGAAATACAATCATTAGCTGGATTTAAACAAAGCAGCCAGACTATTTGGTTTGCTCCAGAAATGCATGAAAACCCAACAATGGAATAAATGACAAAGCAGAGAGGAGAAGGGGCCAACAATTTTGGCAGGTTTGTGAAGCATGTAGCATGAAAGTGTTTTAAGGTTCATCAGTTCCCTTTGGACACACCAATACCCCCGCTGACGAGGCCTGTCGCGATAAACAATAAATCAATTTAATCGCAATATAAATGAAAATTATCGACCTCATTTTAATTCATCGGCTTTATCGTTTCTTCCGGTCTTTTTCTCTTTCTATTGATGACGATGGATGAAAAAAGACTCAACTCCCTTCCTCATTTCCTTAGCGTAAAGTCCAGTTCACACTACACGATTTTGGAATCGTCGGCCCATTTTCAAAACCTGACAGACCACAAGCCAGCCGACAGAAATCATAGGTTTAACGGTTTGGTCGTGCCGTGTGGTGTCCAACAATGGGCATGAAATATTGGCTCCAAGTCCAGTTAACTAATTTTAAAACCAGGCATTAATCTGGTTAATCAATGTTTTACTACAGTCTACCTGCAATGCATGTAGTATCAGCGTCAAGTCCTGACTGAATGAATAACCTTATCATTATAACCCGTTTATGTCACGTTAATGACGAACAGCTGAAAAGTTACCGGGTTTATCAGCTGCGGTAGCAATTTTGCTCCAACTCCTCTCCTCGTCAAATGTTGAATGAACATCAACGTTTATTCAACATCTCCGATGTCCTCTCCGGATATCGGAGATGACGTGGTCAATTTTAAATTTTGGGATGCGCCGTGTCAGCTGTTTGGGATTCCTCCCCTTGCTTTCTGATTGGCTACCTGTCACATTCAACGGGCTGCCTTCTCGCCCCCCAGTCGGGGAAAACCCCACAGGCTGCAGTGATAAACTGGCCAAGACAATCCAACATGTTGAATATGCCTGATTTAGATCTGAGCGGACCGACTGGACCCAATCAGTCCGAACACACCACACACTGCAGGATGATCAGTTGCGATTGTAGCCAAGTCCAATCTTAAAACGTTAGACGTTCTAAGATTGTAGTAAGGGAAAAATCGTGTAGTGTGAACTATTGCATAAGGTAGTTGGATGTGTCCATCTACATCTAATGATTATGAAGGGTAACATAGCATAGACTTCATAATCTGCACTCTTTTGGTTGAATGTAGTTTTCCAGTTCCAGTGTTAAATGTTCGTTTGAAAATCAAGTGCATTTCTTTTCGCATGATATCTGTTGCATTATTATGTCATTACCATTACATCAATTTAAAAATGGTCTTCAAACAATATTATCGTTTATCGCAATCATTTTTGGGACAATTAATCGCTCAGTAAAATTTGTTATCGTGACAGGCCCACCGCTGACAGCAGTAGTGAACAGGAGGAATATTTTAGGAAGACTAGACATGCATCATCACAGCGAGCTGGAAGCATGCTGCTGTGATAAAAGCTAGTGGTACAAGGCAACATAACCTCTCTACAACCGATAATTCAACCGAAACAGCTAATTTTGTAAAAAGAAAACCGCTTTACAACCTTTACGCAATGCTTTCAGTGTACTTAGAGCTCACTTGTGAAACGTTTTTATGTTGAAATTAATGTCTTACTCATGCTACACTAGATCTATCATCATCATCATCATCACATTTCTTCTACATTCAGAGAAAATAAGTTAAAAAAAATAAGAGGGTGGGAGGTTTGTAGAGATTTTGCATCCACTGCAAATGCATATTAAAAGACAAATTTCATGATTTTCAACCCGTTCGTATTGTAACGTTAGTGTTAAAGTCGGAATCCGATGATGCTGATCTCCCTTTGCGAACAATTTTAACCGTGTCATCCCACGGTTAATTTAAGTTACTCGTGCGATTCATCCAAAACGGCGCTCCGCTCTTCATCTTTGGTGCTGCTGATCCGCCGTAGGAAACCCAGCGGCGTACACCAGGGAGAATTTCTGCGTCGGTGAGGTAAAGACAAGACGGCCCGCATCAGTCCCAATCGGTCTGTGACGGGGTCGCAAAAGCACTTAATATTCCCAAAAAAGGAAAATAAAAATAGATCAAAAGAAACCAAGCTAAATGATATCGGCCATCGACCTTGGACAGGTCGCTTTTGTTGACGTGTAAACCCATGCAGTTTGTAAAATGTCAGGACTTTACAGGAAGTACTTATGTTGAGCCTTCCTGTTCACAGTGCGGTGGCTCCCGACTGCAGGCTAGGCGCTAGCGAGGAGCAAGGTTAGCCTTGATGTTTTGCCAGTGCATCTTTGACATGGAGGTGATGATGGTGGCTGTGAGAGAGGCTGAGGTCACGCGCGCGGATCCCCCGAGGGAGTCGAGCCGTTAGCTTTGCTCCTGTTCTTGCTGCCCTTGCTCTTGCGGACGAGCATGCGGCTGAGCGTGGCGGTTCTGCTGGCCCGCTCCACTGCAGCCGGAGACTCGAGGTAAACCAGGTCGTTGTGCGACTGGCTCATCCCCGGCTCTTTGCGCTGGTGACGACGCCGGAAGAAGAGCTTGGCGCTCTTCTGAAGGAAGCTCCCTGCAGGAAGGAAAAATAAAGAAACAAGTTAGCATGACATTGAAGAAAAGTATTGCGTGTCCAGTAACTTTAGAGAATCTGAAAGATTAAGAAACAAACGGGGAACTGAAAGTGGTACAGGCTAAGTGTTAATTGGACTTTCAATGGCGTCTATAACGGATGATTAGATGAAAATGATTGTAGATATTGATGGTTCTATAAATACCAGCTAACACACACAAACTGTATCATCACTGAGTCCAACTAGCATGCTTCCTTCGTTTCCGTCTACAATCTGGAAACACGCTACAGTTAAGAAGTTGGTCAATTTAAAATTTTAAATAAAACCTACAAATCAGTGAGTGACAAATAAAAAACATTACAGTGTAACGTCAATGAGCCTCATTATCAAAAAAAATCAAAGCAAACGGAGAAAAAAACAAACAAAAACAATCTGCTTTAAATGATCACCTTAAACCTTTGCGGTTTCTTAGGGATGCACCATGAACCGGCATTAACATCGGTATCGACCAATGCTGGTCTTATTTTAACGTATCGGTCCAATAAATAAAACCGAGCCAATGTAAACAACCAATGTTCGTTTTTTTCTTCTCGTTGCCGTTTGTGTTTCTGGAAGTTGGATTGGAGCAGGTCGGCCACATGGTGTTTGTTCGGCCATGTGACAGTGATGGTGATGCAGTGAAAGACTGTGGCCTGTTTAACTGAAGCAGAGACGTAATGTCAGTGGTCTGGCTGTTTTTTTCACTGTGTTGGAAAAGATATATATTAGAATATCGATAATTAACTGTAGCAGAAAAAAAATTATAAAAAAAAAAAAAAATACATAACCACATTTTCAAACTGGTGCACCCCTACAATTTTCAATTATTGAGAATCATCAGAGAGAGACTGAGCTGCGCTGATCTGAGCCCAGGTTTTAAGCGTTTCATATACTTACAAAATGCACCACAAACCTGATGTGAAAATGACAGTTCAGACTTTTCCACATTTGATCAATGAGGACCAATGTCTTACTTTGGTTTCAGTCAGATCTATGGTGCGTAATGAGGCAAAAAACAAAACAAAAAGAAACTATAATCGTCAGACCCATCATACTCCTAAATTCTAGTAGTGCTAGCAGGACTACACACTAGAGTCTGAAATATACTACAAGCTCATGAAGTAACTTACTCATCAGGGTAAATAGTCTGCTTAGCACTGCTCTCCTCTAAGATGGCAGTGATGAAAGTTCAAAAAGGTTCACACAAATGAAAGAAAAGAGAGAAAAGAACAAAGAAAACAGACAGCATCACTTGGTAGGAACAGACAGCCATGAAAACAGGCAAAAACATAAATCTGACCGCACACGACTTTAAAGATATTACTAGTTATCCACCTGCTTATGGGAGCTCTACACTTAAAGGAAGTGCAGAGAAAAAAAATGGATTTTTTTCTGTGTATGTGGTCTGTATTTAAAACCGCACACAGATCACCGCTTGTGCTGTGTTTGTCACATCATTTGCCGCTTTCACACCATGACATGGACATTTCAAACACAGAGGAACGGGAAGCTTTAAAATGATCTTAGCATGTCTGGCAGAAACGTCTAAACAAACCATTCTGAGTTCATTTTTCTGAAAAACACGAGACGCACAATGAAATCAGCTTTTTATCATTTAGCTTTAAAAAAGAAAATGATGGGGGCGCTCTGGTGGCGCAGGGGGTAAGAATAGCCCGCAAAGGGGCCGTCGCAGGTTCGACTCGCGACCTGGCGACCTTTCTCTTTGTCGTAGCACTTTCTAATTAAGGCCAGGAGAGCCAAAAAAAACCCTTTTGAAAGAAAGTTACTTAACAATCTGAAGCGTAACAGGAAATTGTAGATTTTAGCTTGGATACCCTGGCAGTTATTCTAAAATGATCTCGAGAAAAAACACTTTTGTGATAAAACGCGTTAGTTCCTGGACGCCTTGTGTGATTTCTCACCTCTGCTTTTCTTGCAGCTCGCCTCGGACACACACATGGACAACGACGTGTTGTCTAGCGCTCCTTCAGTTTGACTCTCCCAGTCCTCTGGGGGCCGGCCGACTCCGCTTGGGCCCTCAAGGGGCTCCGACCCCTCTGGAACGCTGCTGGTACCCGACGCGACGGCCGTGGTCACGTCCTGGGTGGAGCTGCTCTCCGACATCGAGGCGTCCATCTGTGCCGCGTAGCCCGCCATCAGAGCGAGTTCGTCATCCTGAGACAAGGGCGTCTAAGGCAGGAAGCAGATGTTATTGCTAAGCTACGTTTCCAGCGTGGTCAAAAGCTGCTCAGTTCCATGTGGTTTCAGCAAGAAAAAACAGTAACAGCACTGAGACTTCTAGTTTTATTTTTTAAAGAAACCATCACAAAAACCAAAACTTCACTTCAAGATTCCTGCAGCTCATCCTTACTTTGGCGATGCCTGAGATGATGATGGTGCTCTTCTTCACCGGCGACTTGAGCTTCTGCTTGGCAGACTGATGGAGCTGTCTGATCGCCGCTTCGGCCACCGGGTCAGTCCCGTTGAGCATGAGCAGCTCCGTATCGGAGGACGATAAGGCCTTGCTCACCGCGCCGCCCAGCGGGGACGCCTGCTCTGAAACCCGGCGCTCGGCTAGCTTGGTCTTACTGTCGACCGTCTTCAGGGCGGGCTCTGACGAGACAGAAACTACAGAGTTGTACGACTTCAAATAACATGAACACATACGTTGATCAGGAGAGCTCCATTGATGACCATCTGCAGGTTTAACCTTGCGTTGATGCGCCTCAAACCTCACGAAACAAAGTCCAGCAACTGTTAAATGTTAAGCTGAAACAAAGGAAAAAGTTGGCGATAAAAAACAATTCTGGATCATTTGTCTGTCCGGGGAATCCGATTGATGGATTGATGACGCAGTAGAATAGAAGATCGATATAGAAAGAAAGCATAAATTCAAGCATGAACGGATCATTGATGGATGGATGGTAGGATGATGTGTTCCTCTTGCACTTCAGCCAAATCTTTTGAAGTCTCCTTTTTTATGCTTTCTATTTAAATTACAGGGTAAAATATTCTTTAACCTTTTGGACCCAAACAAGCCCATTGTGGTCATAGCTTCACTGCTTTACCAGTGTTGTTGAGCGGGAGCGGTCGCCCAGGCTTGCTCTTCACAGCGGTGACGGTGGTGACCACGGTGCCGCAGGGCATCACGGTCCGGTCCATCTCCACCTTCTTGCAGGCAGCTGGAGTGGGAGGCTGCCAGGACCTCACCTCACTGGGCTCTAGATAGGTAAACTTTGAGATGAAAGTCAGGTTACCCGCTTTATTTACAAATATAAAATTAGCTAACAGAGTCGACAGATTTGGTGAAGTTACCTCAGTAGTAAGTGATCCAGTCACAGAGTCTTTGGTCTTAAGTGCAAATGTCTGCTGTCCTTTGGGTTGCTTCTTCACGAGATCAAAAGGCACACATACCTTCCCGAGTAGAGAACCTTGGACACGCACAACAACCATGTTTTAGTCCCTCCGCCAGAAGAACACAGAAAATACCATCGAGAGCGCCCTTACTCTCTGGAGGTTGACCATCATTCATCAACTGCACAGAAAGCTCCTTTGATCGTCCATTCAGCTCGCTGGTTAAAACCCCCCAAAAAGAAATAAAAAAAACAAATCCGTTTAGTTGGCGTCTTTACAGAAAACGCAAATTATTACAGGTGGTGATGGCGAACCTACAAGACAAATGGCTGCTCCCAGGTAGGAGTGGTTGTGTTCTTCAAAACGGAGGTGCTAAACCTCTGGGGAGGATCGTCCAGCTGCAGCACACACAGAGGATTCACGCTGCCTGCAGGCACAAAAGGAAATGGTTGGAAAACTGATAGTGTAGCAGATTACAGTAGAAATCTTTCAAATGTGAATACAAGCACACTTGAAATCTAATGAGCCACTTCGTTTTCAGGACGGCGGCCATTTCTCAACCTTTTAATCCAATCTGTCTGATTCCCGTGACTTGGTTGAACTTCATCATACGTTTTCAACTTTGGTCATGATATTCATTCATTGATACGACTGCCACTCAACCCGTGTCACACACCTTTATTACTTCAATGTAATGATGTGTAGCTAAATCAGATGCTGAAACTGAAACTGAGGATTTTGCTGTTTGTGAGTATCACACCATTCATTAACTGGAAAGATATGACACAGCCATCTTCTTAGTTAGCATTAGCTCAACTAATGTTTTTGTGTTTAGCTGTAAAAACTAAACTCTAAACTGCTAAACACACACACACAAAAAAAATGTGTTTAGTAGTTTAGAGTTTACTTCCCCGGATTGTTTTTATGGGCTTAGTGGTTTAGCATTAGCAAAGCTAAGATTCTTGTTTAATGAATAAGTGGTTAATGAACTGACTGAGCCCACAGCCAACGACTGCTGCTGATTTCAGTGACAACATATATTCTCCGTTACAACCTTGACAGCCATTTTAGAAAATGTCCTCCAGAAAAAAGGAACCTTCTGATCAAAAAATATATGCACAAGATTTCAATGGCTTAAAATATTTAGAATATGATTTAATGCCAAACATAAATTGACGCAATTTATCATTGCGTTTTTAGTGCAATGATAAATTGCTCCTGACATCCAGGGTGGCCATCTTGAAAAGTAAAAAAATATCAGTTAACATGATTCCCATGGGTCCAGTTATACATAATTTGATGCCAAAAGTATTCATCTGAATTAAATATAGACACATTTTGGGAAAAAATAAATTCTCCTTTACAGCTGTCTTGAATTTTCCAGTGGGTAGCGTTGAAAAAACAAACCAAAAAACAGCAAACCCCTGGCAAAAATCTGCGCTTTGTTAGGTTCTTGAGCCTGCATGTTGAAGATTTCGCAGAAATATTCAAATGATCTGCTGCACTATGATGAGAGACTTCCTTCATGAAAATTTGCTAGGAGATCATGAGCAAAAGTAAAGGTGAGTTTATAAACATGAAAAGCAGATTAGAGGAGATTCTGCTTTTTAACAAGTAGAGGTTTTGTCATGGCGCTGCAGTAAATCCTGCACATTGCTGGAGTCCCATCGCCACCTAACTCACTAGATAATTACTCCTTACTGCAACGACACCATTAGCTTGTAATCTTAGCCACCCTCCTTCCACCTGGGAGTGCTGCTCCCTCCTGACCACAGGGAATTCTCACATCCTGCTACATCCTACGACTCTGGGTGTGGCGGTGCTGATGTGGGTGTTAAATTACCTCCACACAATGCAAACAACACTTAGCTGAAGTCACAAAACGGGGCAGAAAGCACCTGCTCTCCTGCCCTCTGGACTGGATGCCCTCCTGCATGAGCAGAATAAACTCCACTGAGCTTCCTGGTCCCGTTGAAAGATTCCATTCAGGAAGCATTTCCTTCTTAACCGGATCAAATGGCTGTGCAACAAAGTGAGATTAACATCTAAACAGGCGACGAGTTCTTGGTATCACGAAAGGTGGATTCATTGGAGTGTCATCATGGTGACATGAGCTCGACTAAACCTGCTCCAGAACAGGTTACGCGACGCATTGTGACTCGTAAAAATCGTGTTAAAACACGGTGATTGTTTGAACTTTGATCGATCCTTTGTAGGTTTTTCCAAGTTGTTTGAAATTTAAATACAAAAATTGCGATTGTTTTTAATTCTCTTTTCTTCCACATAGTCATTTAAAACCTGTGTTTAAAGGAGAATTATTAGAAACCTCACCTTACAAGAAAATGTAAGGTGATGGCAGTGACATCACAAAAAGTCATCTGTTTTTCTTTTTAAAGAAACAAGCTGATTTGTGATATAAACTGCTGGGGATCACAGGTTTCATCTTTGTTTTCTTTTAAAAAATAAAACCCTCTGCAGCATCTCTCCAGAAGCAGTGTCTGCTTATCGCTCTGTTCTGCATGTGCTCCAGAGCAACGGACAGGAAATCTACCACCACGGTTAGATCTCAATCTGTACAGATGGCACGGTTCTGATGGCTTCTCTGTGCTCGTTTTAGCAGAGAAACGAAAACGACAAAGTATTTCTAAGAATGCTAGTTTTCTTTAGAAGCGTCACTTGTTTACGTTGGCAAAGAATAGGAAAACTAGTTCTCACAAGCACAAGAGCCACAAAGTAACAAACAGCTGACGATAGAGTTCGATTTGACGGGACTAAGGATAGTAAAAAAAAAATACAACAAACCAAAAATAAATACATAAATCAAGTCAAATCAGCATCAGGATGGACTGCCACTTGTAAAAGACAAAAGTAAATTCCTTAGTTTAGACCTAGAACTGTATGTTGCTACCCTATGGTAATAGCAGGATAGCCTCTGAGAGCTTTAAAGCGTAGCAACATCATTTGTTTACTCCTCCCAGGAATATATATCCTCATCTGAGTAAACATGCTTGGAGGATCCGGGCGACTATATTTATTTCAGATGTGTTGAAGATGCTTTCATGGTACAGAACTGAGGAGCTTTGCAGCCTAGCAGCTCACCTGCAGCATCTTCCTCCTGACTGAGTGTGACCCGAGTGTTTTTCACAAGCAGCTTCCAGTCGTGGGCGCGGGGGGGCTTTGGCGGCGACAGCACTTTGTTATGAGCTTCCTGTTGGAGAAAACGCAGAACAGAAATCTGGTTGTAAACAACAGGGTCCGAGTCATGCAACCAATTGAGGTTATTTTAACAGTAAGTCAACCGTGAAGTTGATGGGAAATGGCATATGGTTTGCAAATATTTTCTTTACAGGAATTAAGAAAAAAAAGTGTGATATGCATATGTATTCACCCTCCTTTATTTTGCTACTGCTAAATGAAATGTAGGAAGCAGAAGTGAAATTTAAAGCAGGACAAAGTTACAAAAAATATTCCAAGATTTGACCACCTTTATTGAGCAGTGGAACACAAATGCATGCCACACTTTTCAGGTTTTTGCTTGTAAAAAAACGTTTTCTTGTCTTTTCCTTTCCTCGTCATGTTCACGCAACATATATCTGCCCAATGAACATTAAGGTTTGTGGTAGTTTGGAGAAAAACAAAACCAAACAAATATGAATACTTTGTAAGCTTTAGTACATCTACAAACTGTTAGACCATGTTTAATTAAATTAAATTTATGCTTTTAATCCAACTTATAATCAATTTAAATTTAAGATTAACCTTGAATCATAAATTATCTTAAAAGCCAGATAATATCATTTCCATCTTCATACGTTTGAATGACTTTTTCATATTAGTGCTGCAGCTGGTGATAGTTTTAGCAATCAGTTAATGTACATATTATTCTGAAGTTTAATACATCTGATCAAAAAAAATTGGCACAAGGTGCAGATATTTTATTTGATCACCTAAGACTTTTTATACATTAATCGAAATGTATTAAAAAATGAGAATGAACAAATAATTTTATTCCTTTTTTCAAATTATAATAAAAAAAATTTCAGCCCGAAATGCAGGAACACACAGTTCCTTTACTGTATGATTCTGATTGATAAAAGGAAAGTGATAATCTGAAGCAAAAATAAAAGAGAAAAAGAAGAAGTGAAAAACCACTCAGTACAGTGCTTGTCAAATCTGATGACTATTTTTGGGATCAACCCATTAAGAATTAGCTAAAGCTAAACTATACCACTTGATGAGTTCTAGGTACAACATATTTATAGATGATACGTTTTTATAGAAAAAATGTTTTACCTTAAATGCAAAATCTATTTAATTTTTGAACAGCTTTGACTCAATTACAGCAAAAGGTCCCTTTTTTGAGTCAGTATACTCTAACGAATGATTAATCAAGACTGAATTAGTTGACAATTACTTCCAAAAATCGATTCATGGCGGTTAATCTGATGAACTGCTTCAGCCTAGATTCAGACCAGAGCGCAACACAAAGCCACCGGCAGTGAAAAACACGTCGCCTCACCTTGCGCTGTGAGGCCTGAGCGGGCCTGCAGCTCAGCAGCACCGAGGGGCGAGTCGCACACAGCAGCTGCATCAGCTGCTCCTTAACGGCCGCTGCAGTCCACGTGTTGGCAGCATCCTGCCAAATCAGTAACAGACATGGCGAATCAAAGGTTTCTTTCTTCCAACTGGAAACATGGTCCAAATTTCAAATGCCTGCGTTACATTTAGGGGGCGCTGTTGAGCCAGTTGGCCACACCTATTTCTGACTGCATTGGAATACAAAAATTTCCGTGGAGATTTAATTTTTTGCAAAGTTTAATGGGTACTTTTCTAGACAACCCCAAAAACAAATTCCCTTACAGAATTTTTTCTCACACCAAAATAAAACAATTTTAAAGCGCAATAAATACTATTATTGTGTAACAAAATCTTTTTCAAAACTCGGCTCCTTAATACACGTGGCCGTCTTTGATCCCGCATGATCTCAAATAATTATCTGAGGTAAACCTCAGGAACAGACAGATTCATGTTTAGCAAAGAGATTTAGCATGAGATTTACCTGTGTGAGGTCGGGGATCACATGCAGACCCTCTGTGTCCAAACGGGACATTTCCCAGCTCACCCTGATCTCATCTTGGACTTCCTGCATGCTTAGCTGAAGCTGAGGACACAGAAATAATTACGATTTATATCGACATTTCACACAAGTCGCGTATTGTCGGCTGATGAAGTAAAAGGTTTGAGGCTGGCAGAAATGTTTTCCTCAGACTTTCTGGCTTCAGTTTTTATCGTGGTGAATGGCTTAATTGTAATTGTGAATTGCAAAGTTTCTTCAACTCAACGTAATGACAGAAACTTCACTGAGGGCCGAATAGTTGCTTTTAAAGGAAGTGGTGCCCCGAAAAAAAGAAATGCTAGGAGAAGACAAGACGAATACTATGACCAGCATGTTCGCTTTTTCACCAAGCAGGAAAAGAAATCTGTGGAAAGAAAGGAAAGTGTGAAGAAAAAGAAAAAAGAAACAGTGGGTATTCTTGCCTCGACAGGCCTGGATTCCAGTGTGGGACTGATCAGAGGCCATGTGATACCAAACAAAGGCCTTATCAGATACGAACAGGAATTCTTTAATGGGTTGAGAAAACACATCGCAGCCTCCGATGGAAATGGCCAGCCTGCTTTATAAAAATAACCAACAATAACATCATTAATTACTTTGCGAAACTGGAAGCAATCAAGGAGGAAGTGCTTGTTTCCACAGCGACGACATGGGACTGTTATTTTAGACGTGACATCATTATGGTGAGGATTCTTCCTGAGAAAAAAAATACTTTCTCAGAAAGTGTGTGTGTAAGAGAGGCAGAACAGTCCAAGCCAGAAATCAATTATTAGTGTGAACCCAGTAGTTTCAAAACTTGGGAGAACAGAATGACTAAGATATTAGCAAAATTTATTCAACTGGCAGGTTTTACAGATGAAGCAACCGTCAGTGAAACGAACCCAGTTTTTCAGTGGGATAGTTCCAGTTTTCTCTGTGGTCGTCAATCAATCTTTATCAAAAGAGATGCATTACATTAGAAAGTTTTGAAACACTTGACTTTACACGCAACGAATAACGCAGAGTTGGCTCACCCTGTGTAGCTGTAACAGCTAAAAGCTCTTCTGGGAAGGCGTTCTGGATTCTTTTTTTTTTTATAGGAATACTGGATCATTTTGTTCCAGCAGAACATTTAAGAATGTTTGAACAGGAGATGATGGCTAACGGTTCCAATTTCTTCCAATGGTGCATCAAAGCGATGAGGTCAAGACCCAGAACAAGCCAAGCAAGTTTATCCACATCCAAGTCTTTGTGGACCTTGTTCAGAGAGCACTGGTGCACCCTGATTCTGGTAAGAACCGGGACTGTGTCATTTTAAGACCTTGTTAGAAAGGTCTTAAAATGACCATTTCATTTTATTTAACCTTTCTGTCACTGGGAAAGTCCCATTGAGATTATGAATACATATTGCAAGAGAATCCGGACCAAGAAGTTACAGAACATTCGCAGCCAAAATGTGGAGGTTATCGGAAAACAACCGGGCTGTGACTGGGCTCATCGGGGTGGAAGAGGTTTTAAAAAGCTCCCAACCACAGTTTTTACTTTTTCAAAAATCTGACTTCCGATTATATTTGAAATCTTTAATATACGTACAGTTGAAGACCTGTGTGGAATTTTAGAGGACTTACGAACCAATGCATGTTAACCTTGAAATATGCATCATCTTAAAATTCTTGACATTTTTTATTTTATAAAATATTTTTTTCTATTGAAGTCAATGTTGACTTCTATATGAAGTCATCTTCTTCTTGAGTTTATTGGAGGTTTGCAAACAGCTATGTGGTGTGTATTACCGCCACCTAGTGGTGAGGAGTGTGGCTCAGAGTGGCAACGTTGTTCAACCGTCCTTAAAATAATGTGAATTGTCACAGTTTCTACATAAAAAGAGAAAATTATGTACAAATGGGAATGTGCACACAGATTGTTTATATTGTATTTCAAAAATAAGGAATACATAAAATTATCAAAAGCTAAACTGCTATACTGCTTGTTACCAAATCAATCAAAGCAATGTGAAGAGTCAAAATTGAACTGAATTGAGAGGTTTATAACAATAACCAGCCCAACTTTAAAGTGGTTAAAGTGATTGAAATCGGCAACAATATTTACATTTTAAGGGCGGATCGAATAGATGGAGGCTGGATGATGTTAAAAGCCAAAGTGCTTTCCCACCTTAGTGCACCGACTGGATCGTTTTGTCCATATGCAGCACAGGGCTCCTGTCCTACATATCCTGACCCTCATTACGTGATAAGCTGAGAGTGTTCTAGCCTGGATCGCTGTCAAGCAGAAGGGAACATTTAACAGGCCTTCAGCTTTTCCAGGCTAATCCAAAGCAGTGAGAGTGACAAAGAGACGAGAGGCCGCCTTTGTTTTCCTGGATCCATGGCAGATCGGATGGGCGACCAAAACAAAAACAAGCCGCCATGCTTCCTGCCTTCAGGCTTCCAGTCATTCAGCCCCGCTCTATTAAAAGCACAACGAGCTTTAGATGGTGACAAGCACCTTACGACGCTAAAAATAGCTCTAATACAATTGGGTTACCTCACGTTGTCAGTTACTCTACAGCAGTGAAGATTTAAGACTGAACAGGATAAAAGCTTATCAGGATTAATGAGCAGTACTGCCGTGATATGAATCCCAACAGCTTTCAAGCCCTGCTCCAACCAGAGACCGAGAAATACTGATAAATATCCACTGGAAATGTTTTTGGAACAGATCAGCACAATCAGCAAAAAAAAAAAAGAAGGTCTCAATCGGGATTAGGGTCATAACTAGGGTTTCATCAATCCTGTAACGTAAACAGGCCAGTCTCTTTCCTGGAGACGGGCCTGACACGGACGTTTAACGAGGTCTGTGGGACGTTTGCCAAGCGCAGAAACAACCTCAAACCATTTAATCTAATGCTGCTGCCAGCACCGATTCAACGCATTCAATATACTCTCATTAAACTAAACCACAACGGCAAGGAGGTAAATCTGTTTTCATTGTTTAAACAAAAATAAAAAAATAATAAATTAGAAAAAACCCAGCATTATTACGTGTGCTAATTTAATTGAACATCTCCTGAACGTGGAGCATTTTACCTGCAGCTCTACTGGAGCGATGCATGCCGTGTATTTGCGAGGATCCGCTCCGGCTGACTTTGCTGCGCTGAGAGAGAACTGAAGCTTCTCTCCGACCACGCTGCAGGAGGCGGCCTGTTGTCGGGAAGGAAAATAGAAAGCAGTTTAACTCAGGAGGGGAACTACAGGCGCAGGATTCACAATTGAAAGAAAACAACAGCTATGATCAAAACAGGGATCTCGAGTTCTCAAAATCTTTGGCCACTTGCAAAAATGCTGAGTTGCGGGCCCTTAAAGGGGCAGTATTTTGTGGTTTCCAGTCACATTACATCATTTCATTGCACAATCAAGTAACTGTTACCTCAAGTTGTTATAAAAATTATATATATATATATATATATATATATATATAAAATTAGTTTTTGCATAAAAAAATAATTTATCCACCAATCTTATCTATGTCTGAAAATGTCTGAAAATCAGTCACTGTCCACTCTTGCTCTGTCTGACAGACCTGCCCACCAGCTCACGTCTGCAATTAACAATAGTCACTCCACTGTTGACAACTTAACAATTTTGTCACTGCCTTTATCAACTTTTCAGACAAAAAACAACACAAAAACAACAACAAAAATGTATCTGTGATGGATAAAATTTGAATTGTTTTTGGCTGGGAGGAACATGGAGATAACCCACACATGGTCAAGGAGAGCATGCAAACTTCATGTATGAGCATCCCTGACCAGAATTTGAGCCCTAGACCTTTTTGTTTTGTCACAGTGTAGCCCGATCATTATTTACGTTGCATGTTGCGTAATCATTCTAAAGACAGAACCACCACTACAGCCCAACCTCAACATGACTTTTCTGCGAATGTATGTAAATTTCTGGTCAAAGCAATTTTATATTCATATACAAATGAGCTGGTAGTGGTTCAGGCCGCCTGTCGCTGGGCCACTCGGAGTAATTCTACTCTGTTGCAGCACAGCCACACCTTCAGCACTTGAATCAGACTCGGCACAATGCAAACTCACTGCTTCACCTCGCGGTCGGTGACTTTGCAACTCTCACAACAGTATTTCTCTTATACGGTGTGAACTGAAGGAGGAATTTCTGCGAAAACTGATTTGCATGCTAGTTGTGGAAACCCATACTTTAACCTCAAACTGTTTTGTCCGTTCTTTTTCATTCGAGCATAAACACGGAGCCTTCAAAGTATCTGGAAAAGAACGGTGAGAGCAGTAAATGCGTATAATAACAGAACACAAACGGTGAACTAGCAATTTGCGTGACGACACTGAGATGTAATTGTGGCTCATATTGACGCTGACGCCATTCTCCAACCAAGCAAGATCAGCACTGGTGAAATGTGGAACACATACTACCTGTTTTGGCTTTCAATCGCTCAAAGAGGAAACATAAACATCCCCAGTGAGACATAACATTGTGATTTCTCGCTTTATTTCTTCCACATCCTGCTAATAAAAACTAACCTGAGCGGACTTGTCAGCGCCTCGGCTATAGACACGTTTAAATAATTAAATCGTTCAAGTAAGTTCATCTTTTATTGTGGCAGCACAGTCTGACACCGGGAGATGAAAAATCAAATTTGAAAACACAATTTAGTTTAAAAAAAACAAAAACAAAGAAACAACATTACTGTAACCAATATCTTTAAAGGCGCGTTGTGGATGATGATGATGAAGTGGGCAGGAAGGAAGTACAGTAGCAGTCAGTCTCGCAACAAATCTGAAGAAGCCTCTGACTGAAGACTGTTGCCTCACAACATGCTGACAACTCAGTTAGTAGATGATATTCTGCAGTAACATCCTGATGACACCATCAAAAGTTGGCAAGCACTGCTTGTTCGCTTCTGCCACTCCTCTTTGAACCTCTGTCTTGACACGTTTGATGAGAGGAAACGTGTCGGCCAAAAAGTAACAAAAATGCCCCCGTAAAGACTAATAAACAAAACAAACAAATGACATCTAACAGCCTTCTTCTAGAATATTGCTTCAATACTAATTGCTGTTTTCTGGCAGATCGCCAATTTCTAATCTTTAAAAAGCCTGACCTGCCAATTCTGATTTTGACCAATGCTCCTTTTTTTTTTTTGTCTCAAATGTTGCTAAATAAAGCAAGAAAGTTTTCAACAGTGGGGTGACCACTGTTAGCTGCGAACGTGAAGACAGTCAAACGTTTCTCACAGCAGAGCAATAGAGAACACTGGTTGATTTTTAGACTCTTGCTGAGGTAGATAAGATCAATGGATAAGATATGCTTCATATGTAAGTATTGACTGATCACTGATCCCCCAGAATTAAGGAAATGGGGGCAGATTTATTGGCGTATCCCTGATTGGCACCTCTGCTGTTAATACTGCGTACAAGCCCTTTGCCTCTGGAGCAGAACTTCAGGTTTTTTCCCCCAACTAAATTTTGCAATGTTATTCTATTTCTCTTTGCAAATTTAATCTAAAGCATCTAGAGTTCTTTCTTAACTCATCTTCCCTTCAGCTTTTCTCCAAGATTTAGATTTGTGGGGACCGAGACGTCCAAAGAAACAGATTGGTTTTTACACGTCTTTAGAAATGGCGCCAACAAATGCGTTCGCCACCGTCAGAACCTTCGTTCTGGAATGTCTGTTAGATTGGATATCGTCACAAATCCTTCACTGAATCGCGGGGATGTTCCTCCATGGGCGGCGCTCCCATCCAATAGATGCAATCAAGTCCCATGTTTGGCAAGTTTGCATGTCAGGTTGTGGCGCGAGAACACTCCTGTCTCTGAGATCCTCCCCATTGCAGAGCTTCACAGCGACATATAAGCTTCTTAAACACACACAGTTCACAGCAGGTGGGGAGAAATAAGCCTCTGTTCATTAAAACTCTGCACATTTGACAACAAGAGCAGCTGCTAAGCGTCGTGTCCGTCACAATGAAAACGGCAGAGTTTGCACGGGGAAGCGGGCCCATCCCTATCTGACCTCTCGGAAAAATAAAAGCTCCCTGGGTTCGCGTCCAAGCATTGTGGAGAAGGCTGGCGCAAAATTTGCACAGCTGATAAGAGAAGGAGTAATGTTTCATAGAGGTGTGTGTGTTGCTTTTTTTTCTGCAGGTGTTCATCCATTCATGGTGCATACAGTCTTTTGCAACAGCCTTGATACCCTTTGAACCTTTTTACGTTGGCACAAGCTTGCAGCAATAAACCTCAATGTGGTGTGAATTTGAAGGGAAACAGAGACATGGTTATGATTTTTTAAAGAAATCTTTAAGATGTGGCATCTCTTTATATTCATATGCATTGAAGCCCCTCAATAAAATCCAAACAGCTGACTTCAGAAGACACCCACTTAGTTAATAGACTATAAAATTTTAAGATAAACGGTTCAACATTTCAGTCTGCAGCATTTACAATTCAAAGAGCTATTTTTTTTGCCCTTAGTTCAGCTAAATAAAACTCGTAGAGCTGCAAAAGTTACGTTGCCTTTTGAAAAAACACACCTTATAATTTGATGAATCAGACCCCTGCTGTAGTGGAGACCTGCTGGCTGCAACAAGCCAGAATACAAATGCATGCCACACTTTCCAGATTTCTGTTCGCAAAGCATTTTCCCCTTTCAATTAATTATCCACCACTCCAACCCGTTAAAACACCAGACCTGCAGCTTATGGTTGCAACATACAAAAGGGGTCCAAAGGTCATGAATACCTTTGCATAAACGCATTCATATTGCAAAACAAAAAAAGAACGAAAATATGCAAAGGCTACTTTGTAAACTTTAGATTAATGGGGAAAATCCCTGCACTACAGCAGGCAGGTTGATGAGTCAGTGCTTGTCTGCTCCAAGACAAACCGCATTAGTAGTTGCAGGAACGCCTCCCTTCTTCAAGGCCAGTGCTGGGTGTGAGGTACCTTGTTTGTGGCCGATTTCCGAAAGCCGGACACGGCGCGGACGGTGAGTTCTGGTGCCTGGACGCCACCTTCTTCAAACGTCAGCAGCAGCTCGCCCTGAGGAGAGAGAAGAGTTCACATCAGTGTGCTGGTTGCAGACGGAGTCCTGCATGTGTTCTGACTTGACAATTTGGAAAACAAACAGGATGACATAAAGCTGGCGCAACATGACTCATGTTGGAGGGAGTTGAACTTAAAAAAAACGACTCTAGAAAACTGTGGGGCGTGATCTCAGGCTCCATGTGCAAACCCAGTCATATAAGGCATCCATCCTCCACGTCCTTTATGGGAGTCACCTGCCCCACAGCTGGCAGGTCAGCTGTCCCGGGACTCACCCCACGCTTGGCTGCCTCTTCAGTCAGAGCCCTGCACCACGCTCCCCTCCATTGGCTCTTCCAGCTTTGCTTTGACAGCGCCCATCCCAGCAGAGCCGCCGCTTCCTCCTCCTCAGCTGCTGCTGCTCTCTGCCTGCTTCCAACGAGCCCGGGATGGAAATACTGCATGAAGTAGAGAGCCAGCGTAACCAGAGACGCGGCGAACAGGGTGACCATGCATAGCCACTGCGGGTCCTCCAAACCGAGATACGAACTGGTGCTGTCCGGCTGGGACATCCTTCGCGACGTCAAAGAGTCACGGCTCAACAATACACCTGCATCGGGAGATTTCCCGACAACCTCATAGTCGTGTCTTTGGTTTCCGAGGCGGCGGAATCACGAGTCGCCCCAAAAAGACAGCAGCAGCAGCAGCACCGAGATGCAAGTCATGCTCCGCATGTCGTTGCTCGCGCGGCGCTGCGAAGGTTCTGGTGCCGAACGTTGAACCGCTCGTGCTATCTCACGTCCAAGTCCCGTTAGCTTCGGCGGCTAACCTCCGCAGCCGTGCGCTCGAGCAGCAATTCTCGAATTAGCAAAGAGAGCCGCCGAAAGTTTCCTCAAAACTACTTCCAAAGCGCTGGCCTGAGCTCCGCAGGCCGACGGTCAGACGTGAGGCGAGAGACCCGGGGAAACATCCTGAAGTGGAAGAGTTCGGCTTGCGTCTCTTCTCTCTCTCTGTCTCTCTCTGATCTGACTGTACAAAGTTATGGAGACCGATATGTGGCACAAACTGTAACTCCCACAATGCAACGCGAAGGGGATTGTTGGTGTCCGAGGAAAAGCGAAACACGTTTTGATGAAGGCGCTGGTGGCGTCGGCGGTCAGATGAATGCTTTTATTAGTGTTAAGTTTTAAAACCACAAGTGAAAACATAATTGTGGGCGAAATTCAAAGCTCGCTTTCCGAAAAGTACACTAAACGTATGTTTTGAGCTACTCGGCTTTCCGTACATAACCTTTACGTCATCAAAGACGCTGAAGTTGGTGTCCTATTTGGAACTTCAGTCGCTTAAAAAAAACGTCCCTCACTGACAAAACAGGGGCCTCATGCATAAAACTTGGCGTCAAAGTTTGCGTAAATACACGCACGCTTTTTCACCGGCGTGAAAATGCGCGCCAAACTCTTTCTTTGGACAATATCAAACTACAGAGCGTCAAGGTCACCTAAGCACACTCAAATCTGACTGCATTCGGTGTCATCTACGCTAAGAAGCATCAAAATCGATGTTTTTCACGATTTTAATATTTTATACACGATGAAACTGAACCGCATTCCTCCTCAGCTAATGCACAGTACAGTACAGATTGCACAAAAGTAAATCCACGCATTATTATCCAGATGTCATTCTATTGTAACTGTAAAGTCGTTTACTGAACGCAATATCAAAGGACTCTGACATATATTCGATCAACTCAATCTAAAATGACTGTAATAATAATTAATTTGCGCTCTGAACAATCATGTAATTTTTAGCCTAATGAAACTTTCTGCTGTTTGTGCAGCAGCATTTCGTTTGTGCTTTGAAGATATCAATGATGACTTCTGAAAACTTTTTGTTATGAATATGATTAGTAATTAACATTGATATCCTTCAAACGATAGAGCCTGGCAGTCCTGTACCTTTAAAAACAGCGGAACGGCCCTTTATTGAGTCCGCTGCGAATCTGAAGCCAACTTCAGAGCGTTCGTTCGTCCATTCCGTTGTAGCAGCAAATCTCCAGCTAGCTGTCATTACGCTGGTGTTTACCAGCCCTCTGTACCCATAATTGTCTCGGAAAACATTAGCTCTTTATCAGTAGAGCGCATTTGAAGTGTTTTATTGGACAGTGTACAAGAAGGCGGAAGTCTCCGCCCCTTTACAGAGGTAAACAAAATATACCTTCGTCATCCCGGTAGGAGCTGCCGTGGCCCTGGCCGGATTTGCTCGGCTGTAAATGGAAATAAGCCACTGTTGAGCATGAATTGTCGCTCGGAGGTCCTGGAGGTCACGGTGGAGGCTCGCCAGGTGGAGGAGGCCACGCTCGCCTTGCTGCACACCATCCTGCTGCACCGCAGCACGGGCAAGTTTCACTACAAGAAGGAGGGCACCTACTCCATCGGCACCGTGGGCACGCAGGACATCGACTGCGACTTCATCGACTTCACCTTCGTCAGGGTGTCCTCCGAGGAGCTGGACCGGGTGATCAGGAAAGCGGTGTCTGAATTCAAGGTAAATGGGCGGCTTCGGGGTCTGATGGAGGCCTGATAAAATGCTCACTGTGTGTTTTTGTCTCCAGGACGCCCTGAGCAGCGACGGCATGGGGCAGATCTCCCTGGAGTTCTACCAGAAGAAGAAGTCCCGCTGGCCCTTCTCCGACGAGTGCATCCCCTGGGAGGTGTGGAGCATCAAGGTCAGCGTGGTCAACCTGGCCAACGAGCAGGAGAGGCAGATCTGCAGGGAGAAAGTGGGCGAGAAGCTCGGGGAGAAGGTGATCAACGTGGTGGAGGTCATAAACCGCCACGAGTACCTGCCCAAGATGCCCACCCAGTCTGAAGTGGACAACGTTTTTGACACCAGTCTGAAAGACGTGCAGCCCTACCTGCACAAAATCACGTACCAGATCACGGATTCTCTCGGGACCTCCGTGAGCACCACCATGAGGAGGCTGATAAAAGACACTCTGGCCTTGTGAGGGTCTTCTTCTTAGATCACTAAATAGTTGTGTTTTTTTTTTTGCTGTCAGCAACAGACATGTCAGCTCTTCTGCTGCAGGTTTGAAGCAGCACCTGTTATCACCGGTGTCAATGTAAGATGTGATTCTGCACCGCTTCTGTTCATTTGTCGATCATGCACTCTTTGGTTTTTGAAGATCTGAAATTGCACCTACGGTAGCCCGACATCTGACAAAAAGCTGTAAATGGTGGCAAATTTCCTAATAAATGATTGTCATCAAACTGCACACACTGAGGAGGACAAACAGAAAAGGCTTGGTCTTGGTGCGAATGATGAAAGCTGACTTTGGGAAAAAAGGTTTCCTCACCGACGAGAGACAGAGAGAGAAAACAAGCTTCCTCTGCGTGCATTTTCATGGTGAGGGTGACCTTACATGTAGGTTAGAACAGGATTTCCAGTTTGTCTTTTTTTTTTTTTCCAAATTAAAGCTAACGCATCCTAAGTTCACCCCCTGGTTTCCAGTCAGAATGTGTCACGGTGGCCCACAACCTGAGAAACATCCTCTGCAGGCTTGAACTGTCTGCCAACAGGAAAGCAACGTGTGGAACGACTTCGCTTCCGCACACGTCAGCCAGGCGTCCAAAGATATTTTCTGCCAGGTGAATATTGCGCACAGAAGTTTTTGTCAGGGTTTTGTTTTTTGTTTTTTACTGTGTAAGAAGCAGCAGTTACGATTATAACTACATATTATCTAAATTTCTTATCAAGTGAGCTACTGGATCAGTGATGAAATAATTCACAATGCCTCTGCTGGTCATATTTTTTACTCCACTGTTACTCTTTATTACAGAAGTGTAGCACAAAATAAACGTAGAAAACTCCAAAAGCAACAATTATGCAACCAATGCGGATACAAATATCAATTATTGCAGGAAGAGTAAAAAGATCCAACTTCTGTTCACTAACAAAAAAAAAAAGGTACAAAATCGAGAGTACAAACACTTCCATTTACACAAATCGAATCAATTCGGCAATTTTTTTTTCTTTCCTCACAAGTTATTAAGAGCACTAGTAGCAGTACAGACTTTCTGCAGAACATCACTATGCAGTTTTTTTTCTGCTGAGAAAAAAAAAGAGAAACCAGTTTAGACTTCCTCTAAATGGCAGCAGTCAGGATAAATTATGACAAAGATTTAATCCACCAAAGCAGGAATATATACTAATACGAGAATACAACTGCAAAACCGTTGGAATACAATCATCTTTTTTTTTTTTTTTTTTTTTTGTATTTTGAAATAAATTTGACAATCTTGTTGGGTTACTTCATCTAAACATCAACCACCTTAAAATGCCTGAGTCACAAGTTCTCTGAAAATCATTTGTGCTTTTATGTGAACTAAGATAAACAATAAAAACAACCAAAAAAAAAAATGCATAAGGCCATCAGAAAGCTTTAGTGAGTCCATCAGCGTTTGTTTGACTGTATGAATGGTTCTGCAGGTTTAAACGCAAGAAGAGGTGAGAAACAGAAACGGTTTGCAGAATTTTAAGGCCAGACAGCAAAAGAACACCTATGAAACCATGAACTGTGTTCAGCAAAACATCTTTTAGTTCCAACTTGCTGCCTGTAATGTGTACGCAGATTTGCCGAAATGCATTGGCCGGCCCGGAGAAGGGTGGAAAAAGACTTCATATAAATTCATTCTTTTTGAAGCAGCAGCGTAAGAAACGTAGAATTTAGAAGAAAAAATATCAACATTTTAAAGTGAACACATTTATCCAGCTTGGTTTAAAACAAGCTAGAGTGCTTTGCATATTGAAATCTTATCCAAAACATCAGCAACACTGAACTGGTTCACTACATCTACCTTCTTGCCTGGACTAGAAACCTGGTTAAAAACAAAAGATTCCTTAATATGGGCTATAATAGTTAAAACTTCTTAAAGGTTGTATTTTTCTATGTTCTTAAGAGTGCTGCAGCTGTAAAAGGTGAGTTTATTTAATGCCTTTTCTACATCTTTACCTCTATTGGTAAGAACATTTGATTAATGATTGGACTGGACCACCTAACTGAACATCAATTATTGGGCTAATTGTTAGAAAAATCCATTAACTATGTAAGTGATCTGGTTTAACGACACAGGAAACCTTATCCAATGAACACATTGAATGTTGGAAAGGCATTCGGAGAAAAACGGATCGTTTTTTTTAACATTTCATTTGCACTTCACACAACTAAATGATCTGAAGCACGGCTGTCCGCGATGTCCTACAACGGAGTTAAGCTTTTCAACAAAGTGCATATTGATTACATCATCGAGGCCACTGATAGTATCTCAAGGGACGCCACCCACACCAAGAGAAAGAGCCAAAGTAAATGCAAAAGCATTATTATTTACTTTTAACAGGAGCCTGAAAATCTTAATGCGCCTCCACACACACTCTGAAAGAACAAGGTACGTTCTGAAAGAACGTACCTTTTACAACTAAAGCAAAATCAGCTGAAAGAAAGAGGGTAACAACTCTGTACCTTGTTTTTACAAAATACATACTTGGGTAAATACAAACAACTAAAGATGTTGAAAAGATATATCCTTATATAGGCTTTCAAAGAATTAACTGCTTGTATAATTGTCTCACACTAGGCAATTGATTGCACATTCATCTTTACATCTTTAATAAACATGGCCACTTTGAAATATACAACTGCAGGCAAGCAAAGAAGTTTTACATTCAGAGCCCGGTTTGTGGATGTGCTCATCTTAACACGAAGAGTTCAGGGGAAAGGCGGCGCCGTCGGCGACTACATGTGGCTGTGGCTCTGCTCGTGGCTCCACAGGCTGAACGCCGTCTTGAAGGTTCTGTGGCAGAGCTTGCACATGTACTGCCTCTTAAACGTCAGCGCGGACAGAGACGGTGCGTGGTAGAAGAGCGTGTCCGGCTCGTGAGGGCCGCCTGGGTTCTCCAGGCTGTTGGATCGGGACAGGGAGCCACCGTGGCCGCTGGGTTCCACCCCCGGCCGGCTCGCCGACGAGCCGCAGGGCTCCGGGCTGCTCGACTCCTCCGGGATGGTCGCCGCTGCTGGTGCCTGAGGGGATCTGAGCACAGAGGCTTGTGGAGAACGGCGCTCCGAGTTCTGGGGAGTCAGAGGCGGGGAGGGAGACAGGGGAGGAGCGTGCATGTTCATCTCTTTGGCGCCGACTTCGCTGGCAGTCGACATGTGGGACTGGAAGTGGCTCCAAAGGCGGAAGTTGGTCCTGAAAGCTTTGTTGCAGATGTGGCAGATGAACGGTTTGATGTGGCACAGCAGCTCCTGGTGCCGCTCCAGGTCTTTGCGAGAGCTGAAGAGGTTGCCGCATTTCTCGCAAGGCCGCACCCCGTGTTCCTCAGGCCCAGCTTTCCCGACCTCTGAACCGTCCCTCTCACTCACCGCCTCCTCCAACGGCTCTTCCTTCACAACCAGTTTGCCGTGGTGGCCCATGCTCAGGTCCTCAGGCACATAGGACGAGGAGTCCTCCGAGTCATACATGGGTGGACCCGACGAATCGCTGTAACTGATGTTCTCTGGAAAGTTCCCAGGCGCCAAAGGCTCGTCGCCGTAAGGCTCCTCTCCCAGAGCGTCCGGCGCCTCTTCATCGTTCTCTGATTGCTTCAGGTGAATCTGATTTTTACCAGTCATCATGTTCTGGTTGTGGACTTCCACCTGGTGGCGCCAAATGCTGAAGGAAGATTTGAAGGTGCGCATGCATTCCAGGCATGTCAGTTTCTTGTACCTGCAATGGGCCTCGTGGTCCTTCTTAACAACCGGGCTCGAGAAGCGGAGGCCACAGTAAGGGCACACGGTTGCGTGCCGACAGCCTCTCTCGTGGTCGCCCTGCTCCACGAGCGATGACAGCTTAACATTACATAGCCTGCAGGAGTAAACACCAGTGGTGTCTGTGCTGTTGTGTTGAAGGATCTCATCCTGTTCCGGATAGAGGACACTCTCACTCCCTGTGTCCTGGTCGGCCTTTTCAGCAGGATGTGTCCTTAAATGCTGCCTGTACTGGGACTGGAACACAAACACTTTGCCGCAGTAGGGACACACAAAGCTGGACCTTGATCTCTTTTTGGCAAGAGAAGGAGACTGCAAACCCTGCTTATTCCTCTTCAGCTTCCAGAGCAAAGCCTTCTTTATTTCTCGCTCTCGCACGATGTCTATCAGCTTCTTCTGGAACTTCTCGTCCAGCACAGACGAGCTGGAGGACGAAGCCGGGTTCTGAACCACCCCATGCTGGGTTTGGCAGTGAGTCCACACTTTGAAGTTAGTGTGGAAGCGCTTGTGGCAGATGTCACAAGCATACGGCTTCTCCGGATTGTGATACATATTGACGTGACGATGCAGTCCGGCACTGGAGCGGAAAACCTTGAGGCAGTTCCAGCATTTAAAAATCTTATTTGAAGACGGTTCTGTGTTGTTCTCGCTGGGGTCGCTGTTTGCATGCTGAGGTTCTGTCTCCTGTGAAGCAACGTGTTCTTTGAATACTTTACTTTTCTTAAATGGGTACCTTCTGTTGTCAGGCCGCTCCTTCCTCTTACATGGAAGACTAAAATCTGTCCTGGAGCCCTGGCTGTAATTTGTTTGCAAGTCTTTGAGATTAACTGGCAGAGCATCTCCAACCGTGATCCGAACAATGTCCATGGGATCGGCGAGGGGACTGCTCGGCTCAGCTTTCACACTGACATGTTCTTCTACCTGAGTTTCCTTATCATACCTGTTGAGATACTTGGACCTGAGAACCAGAGGGGACGCTCTAGTCGAGTTGCCGTTGTGGGCGAATGTTTCAGTTCCTGATGCCTTTGAGGCAATTTTGACAACCGATTGTTCTCGGTTTTGGAGATCTTTGAGTTCCAGCGTCGGGGAGAAAACCGGAACAGGGCTGTCCATGGACAGTGATCTCCGGAGGAGGCTTTTTATGAGTGGGCCGCTCCGGTCAGTGAGCTGGCTCTGCTCTCTGGCCTGACCCTGGAAGGGAACGTTATTGTGATAGCGGTGGTCGAGCTCTTCGATTTCCTCTTTGGTGTCCTGGTCAGAACCAGACTGTAGGCTGATGTGCTGCACATCAGCGTCACTAAAAGATACAGATGATGTCAGCTGAGGCCTGACTGATTTGACGTGCGATAAATTTCCTTTCAGTATGGTGGAATACGGATATCTGGACTTCCTCTCCGGGGGTTTGTTCTGCTCGGATGCTTTCCCGCCGATCTCAGAGTTCTTGACCGACTCATGCGAGTTGTGTTCTGATGGAAGCTGAGCCGCCCCTCGAGGAGAATAAGGGGATGGAGATCTCTCTGATGTTTTTCCCTGATAATTTGAGTGAGAGGGGTGGGCTGTGCTGTTCTGGACCCGACACACAATAACGCTCCTTGTCTGGGCATCGTTCTCATCCCCCTCTGAGTACGAGAGCCGTTTTCTGGACACGCAGTAGGAAGCGTGAGGCCTCGTCGACACAATGTTTGTAAGAAACGGGATTCCAAGGCTGTAGCCAAGCTCTTGAATGGCTGCCAGGCTGCCTTTGTCCACAAAAAGAGAGGAGGAGTAAATGTAATTTAGAACTATCTCGAAGGCGTCGGGTTCGCAGAAGTCCAGGTTCACAACTCGTAGTGAGTCTCCATCCATTCGTGTAAAAAGAGACTGGAAATACTCGCTACTGGCAGCAAGAACACTCTTATGGGCCTGGTACCTTTGGTCTGCCACAATCAGGACCACGTCGCACATCTGGCCCCGCAGCCGCTGTTCGTTGAGAACCCCCAACACTGAGAGGGCATGGGAGGGGTTACTGTAATGCACAAGGCTCTCCATGGCTGAAAGACAATACAGATATGCATTAATTTGATATTGGGTTTTCATTACAAATGTGCAAAAAGCATAGCATCAGCAAAATAAATGATAACGATTGACTTATTTCTGTCTAAGGATAAAATCAAATTTATTATGTTAAACAGATATTTATTTGATCATTTATTGCGCATTTCTACCTCCAGACTCTTCTAAAATTCACACAGAGAGATTAAACAAAAACCAAACATTCTCAGAAATCTACCAGTTGTAAGATGCCATCTAATGGCGAACTGTGGAAATGATAGAAGTAATAAAACTGATTTTATTTGTCACTTTTCTGAAGTAGTCTAACTCAAACTTCCCTCAGGACCATGTCGAAGCTACAAGTGTGTGGCTTGAGCTAAATATTAGTATGCATCTACGTATATATGGATAAAAAGAGGAAATCCACAGTGAATTCAAAAGTAAGGGCCAAATTCTTACTTTTAAAAGTCTTTGAGGTTTAATGTTGCCATGTTTTGGTTGTTCATGGACATCTGTAGCAATTTATCCAAAGTATTTTTCAAGAAATGACATTAAAAAAAGACGATATGATTCAAGGTTATCATTCACTCACAGAACACCTGTAAAAGAATGAGAGAATTACGTTGTTTTGTTCGAAGCTAAGATTCACAAGAATTAAAAGAACAACAACTTCCCAACTGATAAACATAGCTATTAACCCAGAGACGTGTTTACTGGGTGATCTACAGACAGAGGAAGATTTTCTTTTTAAACGCGATGAAACAAGTTCTAACCACAGACAATCACTGGGAATTATGGAGCATTACATCATTTTGTCAGTCTGAGTACAGAAAAAAAAAAAACGCTGCTTTGTCAAGTTGCTGTCAGGCACCAGTCAATGCAGGAAGTATAAAAAATAAAAAATAAAAAAAAACACCCTTCAATTAAAGTTCAACACGACACCAACCTGTGCAGACAATTATCTCTGATCAGATAATAATAATAAAAAATAGCATGGCGCTTCAGCAGAGGAAAAGCCATAAACCTCAGTGTGCTGAGGTCATCCTGCAAAGAGCGGATCAAAGTTCCTCATCAGAGAGGATACAAGAAGGCCTCATTTAGAGCAAGGAAAAAGTACTTGCTCACAAAAAATACAGGAAAGTCAATAAATTATTAATGACAAAAACATATAAATATATATATATAAATGAATCACTATCCCATGTTAGTACCGCTTAGATCATGGCATCCTAAATTCCCGCGCAGTTACTGTGATGCATAAGTTCTTTGGAAGTCTGTCGGACTTTCAGAATCTGGTACCGACGTACCATTTATGAATTCAAGCTCAGAATTATGCTGTGGTTTGGTGCTGCAACTTGTGTAGGAATACAAACATAAAAAGTGACACCAAACATAAGGTCAATGCAGTAGAAGTATCCCTGCTTACGCTAATGAAAGAAGTATGTTCAGATGCAAATAACAGCTCTGGACATGATGTAGCACTCCAGAAGATATGTCTGCATACGGCATAAAGAAACTGAAATATTTTTTTTTAGAAAAGTAAAGTTGTTGTAGAAAATATGAATCTTAAAGACTGTCATAAGTTAAAAGTGATGTCGCCTGAAATAAAACACGAGCATTGCACCAAACTTTAAATCTGCAAATACTGCTCTATAAATAATCTGGATATAACGTAATCTGTAATCTCTGTAATCTCTGTAACTTGGACTGATATTCCCTGTGTTTACTAGCATTTGTTCTAGTCAGACTATTATTTAAATTTCACCTTATTTTATCATTTTTTGGTTTTAATTTTTATACAATGTAGTGGTACATGACACTATTTGCTGTTTGCGATATCTCGAGGAATATTCCACTGAGTTTAAAATAATAATAATAATAATTTATTGAAGATATTTCTCCAAAATAATAATAAAACCAAATAATAATTGTTCACACTATTCATTGACATTTACTTTGAAATTTTCCAACGGAAAAGCAGTTTTCATCTGTTTTGCACATTGACCCGACACATTGAATAAATGTTAATGGGGGGCGAAGGCTCCATTCATTCTTTAGAAACCAGACAACGCCAGTTCGAGTCCCACCTGAAACTTCTCGGGAACCTTCAGGAGGAAACAGACAAAGCCGCCGCAGCATTTCAGTTCTTATAAGAGGAACCTGTCGTCACTAGAGCGCTCATTAGACACCGGCTCATAGTTTCTCCCGTCAGAAACTTGGGACTCGTTCAGTTCCGGACGCGCTCGCTCGCTCGCTCGCTTCCTGCGCGTCCGTCCGCGGACTCAGCTCGGGCGGCTCGCCTCCCAGCCGCTCCGTCGCTCAGGCGGAGAGCGGAAAAGTTGCGCGCGTTCGCCGCTGCTAACCCCAGAAAGCGGCTCGCCTCGCCGGAGGGAGTCGGACCCGTTACGTTCGGCAGAAGTGACGTTGTGGGGGGGGGAGACGCACACCTGACACGGCGCGGTCCGCCACATGAGCTCGAAGCTGCTCGGCTTTTTTTTTTTTTTTTCTTCACAGCAGCTCAATCCCCCGCCACCGTTTAGAGTTACGTCAGCGCGGAAAAGGAAAGAAAGCTTCCCCTCAACAGAAACTCCGCGTTTTGGCTCCGCGCTCGTTCCGTCCAACGAAGCAGCGCCCTCCGGTCCGGTCCACACTCACCCATCCCGTCGTGAAAACGCTCTCGCCTCCACCGCGGCCAGGACTTTTACTCAGTGTTGTGTCGCTTTCAGCCTGCCTGTCGTGATTCCATCCATCTTGAATTTGACGTCATCCCACACCAGGGATGAGGTCATCGCGAAGACTGCTCGTCACGTGCGCTGGGCGCTGATTGGCTAACTGGGTGACGGAGGGCGGGCTCAACGGAGGACCTCAGAGTGGGGCTCATTTAAAGAGACACGCCATGTTTTGTTTTGTTTTTGCTTGGAAGTTCAAGTTGTTCGTTTTTAGAGCATTATTGTAGGAAGCCAGCAGAAGCTAAACCTGTTAGGCTGACAGGAGAAGTAAGTCAGGCGCCGATAACATAAACTATTGACACGCTGGATTTACAACGATTTCAATAAACCTTGTCAATTCATTGCAAGTTGCATTAAGAAAAAAAATAATCCCAACAACAATGCAACTTTTCAGAACATGATTTACTTTCGATCCATTATTTTAGCTGTATGTAAGATGCTGCAGCTTAAACTCTTAAGGAACAGGGGCTCTTAAAAGGTGACACATACGCAGTGATCCCTCACACAACAAACAAGACATAATTACCAAAACGTTTTCTACTTGCGAAATGCCACAGCAATTTTAGAAAGAATGCCAATTATTTCTTCAATGTCTTCAAATTCAGAAGTGTGCATCCAGAGTGATTACTGTCCCCAACTGGACTGTCTTGTGAAGACGCAGTCTGAAATGTGAAATGTGTCTAAGTTCACTTCTCTAAAGCAAACATAAAATAGCCAGATTGAAGCTTGCTGACACAGGAACAAGGAACTTTATTTTTTGGGACATATTGTCTTCCAAATGGCCAATGACCTCCTCAACCGAGTGAGTTCCTGTGTAACGTTCATGCAATGACATGTCTGCTGCTAACCCCAAAGAAACTAATTAGACCTGCAAATTAAAAGGAGCCAGGTCAATGTGGTGAAGCCCTGCGGTTGTGTCAGTAGCTTCACCCTGTAGGGACGTGTCGCCAGGCCTGCAGGCCTCTTCCTGGAAAGCTGATTATGCTGCAGTACATCATCAGCTAAGATCAGGTGCAGCACTGAAGACGAAAACCTCGTAATTGCCTGCGATGTCTGCTTTTAGCCAAAGCACATCCTCGGCATACTGCGCCGATTACGGTTGCTTTGCGATGCGAAGACGTGCGCGGATAGGGAATTCTGTTGAGCCGGGTTGCATCGTGGCACACCAGCAACTCGCAGCGTACCCAGTAATTACCGCTTAATGACTCAAGTAACCTAAGTTTTAAGGAGGGTCATTTTAACGCCTCATTACAGTGAAAGGATTGCATTAAATAAAGAGGCCTTCACGTGTCGTGAGCCAGCAGAAATCTTGTGACATCAGACCTGAAGAGATGTCCCATATAAACTATGAAAACATGAATAGCCAAGTTTCTTCTTCTGTTTTGCAGCCACATCGAATGACAGGGATGTTCTCCCTCCTCCGTACATGTCATTAACGGTTGACACAATTGGAGGTTAATGCCAGCAGCACAACAAGCACTTCCATGGTTACCTGTATGCAAACTGACTCATTGGGGACTTTTAACTCCTCCTATCGAACTTCTCTCTCTTTCTGGTACAATAAACATGTTTACATCTACTCTCCAACAATAAGTAAGCGGACAACTTCTTTAGATTGTATTAATAATACAAAATAGCCCAATCCAGTTTTACTCTGTGAATTTTCCTTTCTCTGTGGAACCATTCAACAGGTTGTTGCAATCTATCTTTAAAAAAAAAAAAATCTAAAGAGAAAATTGCTTTGTTTATGTACATGAGATTACAGATTCAGAGGCCTGATTCTTTGTGCGAGTGTGAATAAATAAATAAGAATTGTACTTTATTTTCTACTAACCACTAATATTTGAATCTCATCCACGAATGGATTTCTGCAGCGTTGTTATCCAGCATTTCACATTTACCCCTTCGCCGGGGTTACTCTCGGCGGTCCGTTGGGGACGTGTTGCTGTAACGAAGGGTGGAGGAAGACAGGGCCACAGGGAGACTCGCCCCTGAGCAGTGAGCAGGAGTCGTCTCAAAGTCGAGCACGCAACTCGCTATGTGGCGGCTGAACGCTGGAGATTCGGAGCTGTGAACCATGAGCTGGATCCTCTCCGTCTGGGCGTTCGGGGCCCTGCTGGCTTTCTGTTCAGGACAAAACGCTGTGCAGGAAGGTAGGCTCTGCGTCCGCGGCTAGCCAGAACCAAACACAGCAGGGTTCGGTTTTTATGCTTCTCCAGTCTTTAGAAAACTGCGAAACTGCTGAAACACTGAGATCCTTTAAATGAAAGCTAAAAACACACCTGTTTTTGAGTAACTTGGACCCTGATCAATTTCTTCCACTTGGGCCAACAAAACCGACAGAAGACATTCGATCACCATGAGCAGACGCGTTAAAGCAAATGCCGTTTCATTGGCAGGAAATAACTTGCATCCCTCCGGCTACCACCTGTGTGTCCGGAATCAAAGCAGAAATGTAAGTTTCTTGGCAATCCATTCGGTCCCGTACGCCGCGACGAGGCCTTGCGGTGGCTGGCTCCTCTGGACGACGTGCACCGTCACCCTTTACAAGATGATGCACCAGATCGAGTATAAGACCGTAAAGGAGCAGGTGACGAGGTGCTGCGATGGCTATGAGCAAGTTGACCGCTACTGTGCCCTGCGTAAGTACTCTCTGATGAAAATCCAGATTTTGGTTGGAGGTTGAGAGGTGTCGAAGGGCCTTTTCAGAAAAGGGCAAATCCTTCTGTCTGTCTGATGAATCTGATGTGGTGTCCTGCTCTGCGCGCCGGCTCCGCAGTCAGGCTGCCCTTTCGGCGCCTGGTGCTGTGTGCAAGACACCAGATGGGCAAGCAGAAAGTGCAGCGCCACAAATAACTCGCCGCTAATACGCGGCCTGTAACGTGTTATTTTCCTTTGAATGAAGCTGTAAACAGGAGTGATGAGTTTGCCGCCAAGCCCGGATCCTGTCCAACTGCAGATGGACCGTCTCCCAGCTCTGTGGACTGCGAGTTTGATTTGGACTGTCCAGGCTGGCAGAAATGCTGCCAGAGAAGTGGCCGGTTTCTCTGCAGCGATCCGACAAGTTAGTGCTCCTCCTGTTTGTGCCGTTATTAAAAAACGGTGTGCTCTGCGAATTATGTTTTTTTGTTGTGTTTTATTTTTATTTCTTTCTTCTTTAAAGAGTTTTAGGTTCAAGTGAAGCCGCAAGTAGCAGAGATGAGTCTAAGTAATGTCATCTAACAAGACAGCCTATAAACTGTTAGTTCAAGTACACTGTCAACAGTTTTATATGGTTTTAATGCTGAAGTCGTTTTGTTTTTCCAAATTTCCTCTTGAAAAGTCTCGCTTTTTTCATACTCTGTGGATCAATGGCAAGGCTTCAGATAGGAAGGCAAGAAGACAAAAAGAAAATAGAAACTCAAAGAAGAGCAGGAAGAAACATGGAGAGAATGGGCAGAAGGACAGAAAAAAGGACACAAAGAAGAGAGGAAGTAAGAAACAAAAATGATAAGGTAACAGAAAAATACGAAAGAGAATAACGCAACAAAGGGAGGAAAGAAGGAAGCCTTAAACAAAATGAAAAAATGATGAAAAACATAAAGAAGGGAGGGAGGAATGATATAGAGACTGGAAAAGGGTGAGAACCGTGTCGGCAATAAAATCTGTTTTTTTGACCCTTATACTTCTCCAGGACCTGAAAAAAAAGCAGTAATATTCCATATTCACTTCTCCAGAACCTATCCTGGTAGAAAATAAACTTTATTAGTTTAAGGCTTTTATTTATCCAAACGCAGCTGGGTTGGAAACACCAACTTTAGCAGCTTTAACCTTAAAGAACTGCACGCTGCGTGACCCCGGTGGTCTCTGATGTCATCCTGGTGGAAATTCAGCCCACTCTCTCTTCTACGTGCCTTCAGTTCATCGAGGTCTGTGGGTTAAAGGGTTGACTTGTAGACGTCAGCAGTCGCCTCTGCCGGGTTGTGTTTATGTTAATTATTAAATTCTCCAGTCCAACACAGAGTTGGGAATTATTATTATTTTTTTATGATTCAGTTTGGCTGAAATTGATCATGTCAACTGTATTTTTAGGATCAGAACAGGAAGCGGGGTTTCAAGGAAGCTTCTGGAACACAACGGTGACAGTGAAGGTGGATTACCAGCAACTCTTGTCCCAGGAAAATGGGCTTTTGAATCTCGTCAGATCATTACAAGCTATGGTAACACTGCTCCTGATTTTATTAAACCATTCCTGCCAGGAATTCAAGCGATATATTTACAGTGCCCTGCAAAAAAAATAAATAAATAATTCCATTGGATTATTTTAACTTTGTCAAACTTTGTCACATTACAACCACCGTCTTCCAGTGAACGTTGTTGGGATTTTATCTGACCAATATAAATAAAAAAACAACAATTAATTCAAGGAAACGAAACGCCAAGTAAAAAACGATTCTCAGGAATTGTTGCACATTCTAAGTTGCATTCAAGGACGGACTTTGTGTTTTGCTTTATGTAAAATTTTAGTAGGATGCAGTAAATTATGTTCAAAGGGAATGCATACTTTGCAAGGCACTGCAAGGCCAGCCAATCTTTTCCATCGTTTTTAAAGCTGCAGTACGTAACTTTTACAAAAAATATATTTTTTTTACATAAAAGTTGAAACTGTCATTTTGTCGTGACACAGTATGACAAATAACCTGTTTTAAAAAATTATATATATATAAATCAAGCTCCTCTGCCTTCTTACTGGAAACAACCAATCAGAGCCAGGAGGAGGGTCTTAGCGCTGACAATCAAGTCAGTGTGCCTGCTGCCCACCCTACTCCCCCACATCCCATCCTTCCTCTCTTAGAGTGATAAACATATATTTGGTTGTTTTAAACGTCATTTTATCCCAAAAGTTACTCGCTGCAGCTTTAACACGTGGATGATCTTTGAAGGGTGACTGATTCTATCTTCTGATCTCAGGACGCTTGTCGGTCCGAGCATAACCGCCTCTGCATTTCTCATCAAAGATAACCGGCGCTCTGGACTCCGAGGTTTCCATCCTCTATCTGAGCTCTCGGCCCGTCGGTCCCTACAGCGTCTCCACGTCTCTGCTCGTCCGGAGCGACTCGCCCCTGTCGCTGCGCGGCGCCTCGTTGAAGCTGCGCCTTCTTCTCCAGCACATACCGGAGGTGTCATCCGTGATGGTGCGAGGTGAAGTGACTCGGCTCTCTGCGAAGACACTTGAGGCGGTTTTTATTTCTCTTTTCTGTGTTAGTTTCCCCCCCCCCCTCCTCTTCCTACAGAGAAATGACATTCTCGCCGAGTTTTGAGAATGATTCACGAGGCAGAGAACGCGGTGTTCAGGAAAAAGTGACTCAGCCGCACCACGGTTTCCTTTCTCCCACCACTTCTGTTTGAGCGACAGTCTTCTGTGGGATGTTTCCTGCAGTAGCGGAAAATAACACCAGAGCCGACTGCTCGCGAGCACGCACGCACGCCTGCACACCCACGCAGCACGCACGGCACAGGCACAGGCACACGCGAGCGCGTTCCAGATATTAATCAGAAATCACATTCGGCGCATTTTCGCCGTAAGATTCAGTTGAAGATATAACGAGTTTCCTCTGAAATCACCACTTCAGCTCAGTGTCACAACAGCCTTTATTTTTAGACGCATCAGCCTGACTTCGCCTTTGAATTAAAGACACAAGGATGACGTATGAAGGCGGCCTGAGTCGAACCTTGTGATTAGCTCTGATAGCTGCGTTCTTTGATTTGTTTCTGTATTAATGAGAGCTTTAAATTGCCCCCTCTGTCTGCTCCCCCCCTGTCTGCTCCCTCTCTCCCCACGGCAGAAGTGGATGCGTGTGCGCACCCTGCCCTCCACCGGTGCTCTGCTCAGGCACACTGCAGCAACACGCAGGGCTCTTACCAGTGCGTCTGCCAACAACGATGTGTGGACGGTGACCCCGGTGACCCTGGAGTGAACTGCACAGGTAGGACTGTGCGGAAATGACGTGCAGTGATCGTTGACGCTGTGCAAAAATGACTGAAACATGTTTTAGAGGGACTGGGGGATCTTTATATGCTGAAATGATTTTTTTTTTGTCACAGGAAGGACAAAAGGATATGGCTCAAAAACCTATATCATATATCATATCAGTCCATAATGATAATTATTACCTTTTTTTTTTGTATTACAAATATCTTAAATATCGGACCGTTTTTTTTTTAAGCAGCTTTGAGGCACAGAGCAATTGAGCAGCCAAAGCCTTTTCTCTGCCTACATCTCCCAGAATGCTGTGCGGTCCAGTCCATGTTCTATAGATTGAATCTTGACTATCAGACCTATTGATACTGATCACATGTCTATTGTAATATTGTTATTGATGATTTATTGTCCAGCCCTACAACTAAGCTTGTCACAAAAAGCAATTAATCAGCTAATCACAGGATTAATAAAAATGAACTCAATAACTTTCATTCTGATGGGAAATATTTTTTGAAGGGACATTTTGGTTACAGAGACTTTATAATAATCCAATTTATTCATGGCTTCGGTTTTGGTTGTTGCATTTTATTTTGGATATTTAAAATGTCTCCCTGCTCCCAGTTCCTGGTCTTTGAGAGAGAAAACTGGCATCATTATGCAATGATCAATACATGACTTGAAAAAAAAAGTCTCAAAACAGCAATATTATCATGTATCATAATAATTACTGGGACAATTTATCATCCAGCAAAATGTGTTTATTATAACCATGAATGTTTTGAACAAAAACTGGACCAAAAAAAACAAAAACAAAAACCCAAAACAACGGATCTGGTCTGCAGCCTGGCACAAGTCGTATGAGAAGCAGCGTTGGTGCTCTGATCAGATTAGACCAAAGCGTTATGTTTTCACCAACACGCAAAACACCAAATCAGCACAGCATCCAAACAGTTAGTAGAGAATCTGTCAAAGTATTTGAAGAAACTCTCTCTCCACAGATGCTCTTAATCTACTCTGTAATGATGAACTTGCAGAAAATATTCTTGTTTCTATTCTCGTTTAAAGCTGGTCGAGCCGTTCTGCTTGTGTTTCCTCAGGGAAGAGCGAAAACAAGTCTTTTGCAGGCCGGAGCAATTTGCTACACACTCCACCAAGACTTGGTGGAATAACGGTGCAAGACGTCAAATAAGTTTAAAACCTGTGTTGCATTTTACTGCAGTGACAGTGAGGGTTGAACTAGTTCTATTTCACCTGAACTTGTTTTTTTTTTTCCCTCTGTAAATAGCCATCAGTTTGTTCTGTTTTGAAATGACAATATTGTATAAATGTAACAGGGGACTTTCCAGCATCATACACAGGAAAGTCCCAAACACGACTCAATATATTGCATCAGTTAATGGTTTCGATCCAAAGTTTCTGTTTGACTCTCATGGCCGTTAGGCTGTTTCATTTTCTCCTGGTGTTTGATTGAAAACTGCTGGAGGTCAACTTGTCAGGCTGTAAGTGTGGACATTGGCAGGAGACCGGAAGAAGAATCAATTAATTTAATCTTATTGCACCTATAATAAGAAATACAGTTTTTGGTTGTTTTTTTTTTTATTTCTTGCAATGTCAAACTAAAACAAACAAAACTGAGATCACTTGGATCTTGGGTTTATGTGGTCAGAAACACAAAACAGACGAACAAGGAGTTTTATATGATAGGAACGAGATCTAAACGGCAAATTTAGGCAGGTGCTCTGTGGAAATCTGGTGGAACTGCGTATTTTAGAAGTCAAATTTCATTGTTAAAATGGAAGCTCAACTCTGGTTCTTTAACACATTTTATAAGAAATTTAATTTTAAGCTAGATCATTTTTTAAACGGTTTTAAGGAGAGAAATTTGCAAGAGACGTCATTTTCAGTAGGCTGCTGACGCCTGGTCCAAACAGTCCGACAGAAACAATAAAATATGCAAAGACGTGAGACGATCGTAAACGTGCAAGAAGGAAAATAACTGCCTGAAGCTAATATGCTTTGGTAGAACCTGATGAGACGCTGTGGAGGCAACCGATTCGTTTCAATTAAACGCGTTGGAACAGAGAAACAACTGAAACGTGCAGCGAAGCACCAGAACCGAACCAACACCTGGAAATGCTGTTCTATAGACGGGTAGTAAAATTAAATACGGAGCAAAGTGGAAACTGGTTTCAAAGTGACGGCTTACAACATCCCAAAACATAATCGGCACGTTTTTCAGCCAAAACGACATCCTGTGATATGCATAAGGTATATTTCTAACTTATGTCTCTTTCGTATTTCTCTCACATGCAAAGTGATTCACACTCCATTGCAATTCTTCAACTTTTGTCACACTAGCGTTTATGTATCTCAATAGGATTTCATGTGATAAACTAACAAGATCTTGTGCATAATCCAGATAGGAATCCAGATAAGATTCATTTTTTATATTGTTTCGTTATCCTGATACCCCTAAATACAATCCGTCAAACTTGATAAATGTAATATATTTACTTGGACAAACTTCATTTGATTTCTTGTAACAAATTAAACATTTTTCTTTCAAGCTGGATCATCTGTTTTGTTTTTCTCAGTGGGATAAGATTTGAGGGATTTGGCTAAATGCTGGGAAGTCCTGGAAGAAACGCTTTCAGAGGCTGTGAAGGACTAAGACGGGGGCAGAATATCGCCTTCCAGCAGGGCGGCCACCCTAAACATACAAACAGAGCTGCAGATTGGCTTAGATGAAAGCATATTAGACTTAGACTTAGACTTGACTTTATTGATCCCTTGGGAAGACTCCCTCAGGAAATTATTATTCATGAGTTAGAAGGGCCCAGTCAAAGTCCAGATCTAAATCTAAAAGAGAATCTGAGCCAAGACTTTGAAATAATCTTTCGTCGACTGATGGCTATGAAAGTGGGAAATAATGTCAATCTGTAGATATTCAGACTTTTTTTTCCTTTAAACCAACTTAAAAAGGTACTTTAATACGCCACAGCTGATTTTATTCCATTTTGCTCAAGCTGCAGTTCTCATTTGAATAATTTTGAAATCGATTGTAGCTTGAGCCTCAGACAATTAGCTGAGAATGTTTTAAAGTTGGTTCAAAGAAACATGTTTTTTTTTCTCTCAGTGTACAGACCTGCAGCTGAAACAAAAGCTGCTTTTATAAAGTATTGACTTTGAAGCTTTTAATTTGGAAACCAAAAAAAAATAATAATAAAGTTGTAATCAATGCAGCATTTTTTATTTCCTCATCAGAGTTATGCACTGTCCAATGTTTTTGACAGCAATTTGAAAGAAAATATGAAACAGTACAAGAGATATGAATACTTTTGCAAGGCTACGTATGTAGGGAGCAACGACAGGCGTATAAAAGAAAGAAAAGCAAAGAGTAAAAGCTCATCCCTCGCAGTGACAGCAACACAGAAGCACCTGCTAATGGAAAATACTTAAGAGCGAATCAAATAAAGGCCACAAAAACACATCAGCAACATGAATCCTATGCTGCAAAATTTCCAACAGTTTCACTGTGACCTCTTCTGTGCTTCTCCGTTGTGAGTCATCTTTGAAACAGCAAGAAAAAAATAAATAAACGCACAAAGGCACATCAATGCCCACGCCAGGTTTTCTTCAGAAACTTTGATTCGACGCGCTCTTCTTATTTCTGTGCTCCCAGGCCGCGCCCCCAGGGGAGAACACAACCTTTTCCTGGACGCTCAGCGGCACACGGGACCCTGCGGGCGACGGCTCCGTCCCGCTCGGGACTGCTGTGACTGCAGCGCTGACTAACACAAGTCCCGTCACTTATAATGCGTCACACGCCTCACTGGGGAGAAGCTCAGCGCCGGCTGCCAGCATGAGCCAGGCCGCTGCCTCAGTCCTGCCGGCGGCTCCGTGTCGTAAGAAATCCTGACCTTTCGTCCCAAGTAGCTTCGGAAAACTAGAACCTAAAAGACGAGGTGGCAAATGCTGTTCTGAATAGAGAAAAAAAATGATAAAATGCAGATTTTGCTGGAAGATTGCATGCAGAATGCTCCTCGGATGCCCAAGAATCCAGGCAATTACTGAATTACGCCTCATTTTTGTCCATTAGTTACATTTCTGAGTTTTGTGAGGTTGCAATAAATGAGACCTTAATGTTTCTGAAACTATCCGTACCGGCGTCAGGGTGATTTTTGGAATAACTTTTCACAGTCACTACCAAACTGAAACCAACCCCATCAAAGAAAAGAACATTATTTGGTGTCTTTAAATTATTTAAGGTGCATTGTTGTATGTTACCGTTTACAAAAAGAAGGCCCTCTCACAGCAAAAGGAAGTGGCAGAAGAGTCATGATAAGTGGTTATGTCTCATTCGTGGAATTGGGGCTTTTGATGATTTGGACAAAAATAATAATCACTGTAAAAGTCAGTTTCAAGGAGCTGACGATGAAGATCAGGGACTATTTCATTTTAATCCTGTTCCCATCGTTTCAGCATCGTCTGTGGACAAGAGACGTCCATGTAATCTGGTCTTTTTGGAAGTCATCTTGACGGTAGAGTGGCCAACTAATATCAAGTCAGGATGTGCCATGCTTATCAACTCTTGCCAAAGAAGATCGAACGCTGAAACGGACTCGAAATGTGCCCCAGCAAATTAGTTTCAGGATGTGCCGACATTTGCGACCAGATGGCTGCACGTTTTTTTTAATCATTACTATTTTCTCCATTTGCAGAGATTTGTTTTTAATCTGAGTTGTTCGCCACAAATATCACATGTTGATGTCTCAAAAATGTTTGCGTTCTATTACAAAGTTCCTGCGTATTAATCATTAGTCATCTTAGAAATGGCAGATCTTATGCACACATATCCCACAACGCAAGTAAGTTGCACTGGCTCAACAATAAGTAAATCGAGTTTTGATTGGCTTGCTTCATCCCACCATTTCGAAAACAATTCAGACACGTTTCACCTCCACAGCTCACATAACTCTGTTAAGAAGGAGCGCTTTACCATTTTAAAATGGCTTCTGATAAGTGACAACCACAGTGAACGAGAGAATGTGTTAGCTTGGGTATAAGCTATGCACACTGAGATATGCAGAGGGGCTTTTTTTCAAAAAGAGAAAAAGAAAAAAACACCTATCTTTGTTGTTAACTTGAAGACGGAAACACAAGAGACCTTTGAGGCAAACTGGTTCAGCCAGTACATCCGGTTACCACCGCTTACAGTGAAGAAGACATTTCTTTTTAGCTGGTGACTCTATCTGGGGGTTGTGAGAATGTGGGTTAGAGGTTTTAATTCTAGGTCTTTATTACCCTCACAGGTACGACAGTGGCTCACGTCGCACTATTGCGTGTATGCCTTATGTTTCAATGGTATATGAAGATACGTATCTAAGTAAATAATGCTCTTTTCCATGTATTGCAGGGCTGAAAATTTTAACCTAGCAAATGTCCTGGCTAATAATGTTCCTTCATGTTATGCTAACTGAATGCCCTCTCCGCACTTATGAAGGTTAACCCACCTCAGCATTCTAAATGCTTGGAACTTCTGAGAAGGAGTGAATTTGGTCTTATTTTCTGCATGCTGTCGCCTCTTTATTTGAGTGTTTATAAGCTTTTCTAAAATGTGTTCAGCTCATTGAACTTGCACGGATGATTATTGTGGCATCACAGATGAAGTATCTGTATCTTTACACAGCAGCGCAATGTAAATTTCACATAATTTATCCCAATACGCATGCCCTGTGCAAAAATGTAGCTGCGTCATAAGTAGCGCACATAAAACATAAGGCTTTAAATTTTATGTGTTTGGATACATCATCATGAGTGGGAACATAAGTAACAATGTCACAGCAGTGATGAGTAAAGAACGTTTTTTACGTCAGCTACAGTGATCGTTAGCTGTGTCCAATGGAGCTTGGTGTGATCTTATGCCAACATTATTGCTTGTATTCTTCCCCTTTGTTGGCACTAATATACCAAAACGTTTTGATGGAAAAGGACACAGGAACGCAAATGACTAATCAGACGAAAAGAGGAACAGCTGTGGCAGGGAGAAAGGAGTAAATCTGAGGGAAAGAGACTAAATAGGATGCTGGAAAAAAAGTCTCAAATAAACGACAAACATTTTATCTTGAATGGCAAAACACTGTTGGCAACAATAACTGAATATGGCGATACCTTTCTAATAAACTCAGAAATGACTGGACGGGAACAAATAAGAACAACCAAAACATAAACGCCAATTTGTCATAACGCTATTTCTAAAAGTGCAGGACTGATAACTACTGTATATGAGAAACCAACATCTGGAAATACCAACGCAAATAGTGTTGGATTTATTATTCTGACATTAAATGAAATAAATCTACTCCAGTGCTTAACTGGGACTGTAAAAACATGTACAAACTTGTGATGCGAAGCAAAAATAACTACAGCCGTTTATTTTAACAAAGTGTCATGACAAGCTACACCACTCTCTTTCATTAAACAGGACCTCCTAGTCTCAGTGGCTTATGGTCTGCTAATGTCACTGGAACATCCATGTCTGTCCAATGGTCAACTCCGGTTCAAAGCAACCAGACTTTCTGGATCACTCTGAGCAAGATATCCGAGGTCACTGAGCGCTGGGAAACCAACAGGACGATGATAGAGCTGAATGGACTTCAGCCTGGTGTGCTCTACAATGTCACTGTGACACCTTGTGCTTGTGGGAGGCAAGGATCTGCTCTCCACATGATGGTCAAAACGGGTAAGAATGGAATATTGCACTGGAGACTTGAGTCCGTTCATTCAAATAATACCTATGGGCTCTAAAGCTAAATTGTTATTATTGTGTGAATATAAGTAGCAGCATGAAACTTTAAAAATAGTCACAATGTTCTTTTGGAGAAACTTGAGTACATCACTAGTTCGCCTTCATGTCCTACGTGAGGACATGAAGGGTGGATTTAACCACTGAGAAGATGGTTTACGTTGCCAAACAAGGTTTTTCTTTGCAGATGCTCGGACTCTTGACGCAACAACACGACTCACGAACATCGAGTTCAACGAAGACCTGAGAAACAGCAGCAGCCAGGCCTACAAAAACCTCACCGAGACTTTTACACAGGAGGTAGGTGTGCTAAGAGAAGAATGTCACGTCCAATTGCTCTCTAAAAGGGAATCTACGCTGTAAAGGACACACTGTGAAGCATCATCTTTGAAATGCAAACGTTTTGCCAACAGATCTACAAGTCTCTGCCCCCGGAGATCAAAGCTATGGTGGATTCGGGTCAGATGAGGATCGAGATCCAGAGCTTTTACCAGGGCAGCGTGGTGGTGGACTTCTCCATAATCTTCAACCCACGTCCAGGAGAAGCCGTGGGTAACGTGTCCTCAGCGCTGATGCAGTCCCTGATGAACAGCTCCAAATTCACTGTGGATGGAAACAGCACAAGCGTCAACGGTATATCTCACTTTGCAGTACTGCCTTAAACAGACTCAATTACACACAAATGGACGTTTGCAGTCCTTTATTTCCATTAAATATGGTGATTTTTCACTTAGTGGATGAAAATATGGCATTTGAAATTTGAATATGACGTCAGACCAATAGTAATGTACGTATACAGAAATGTGAGCTTAAGGAAAGGTTAAAGGTGATTGTTAATAGCTATTTTTAGTCTCACTTGAATTCAGCAAGAAGGTTCTGGGTTCGATTTCCAGCCCGGGATTTGATATTCTAATTGATTGAATATGTCTTTAGTTGGACTAACATTTGGGAGGAACAGAAGTTAGGGTCAGCAGGAGATAGAGAACATGATGTGGAAATTCAGTATGAGATCAACCAAAAGAACAAGAGGAAACTATTTTAGTACATATAAAGGATGTACATTAGATCAACAGCATCTTCTTATTGCCCACAACTGGATATTTATTTTAATTCATGTATAATTTCAAATTCACTGTGGATGAATTTGAAATTATACATAAAGTATGATGCATAAAGTATCACAAAAGGTAATACCTGGACGCAACTGCCATCACAAAAGGTGATACTTTATGCATCTACAGTGTCGTCTGCATAAAAATGACAGGTCATGAGCCACTCTTTTTTTTTAACAGATTATGACGAATGCGCCTCAGGAGAAAATGATTGTTCTCGATGGGCTACATGCACAAATACATGGGCCTTCTACACTTGCATTTGCCTTGATGGATTTATAGACAACAACCCAGAAAGACCTGGACGCAACTGCCAAGGTAGAGCATTAGTGGGAAAGTTAATGCGTATTTACTGATAATCATGTGGATATCTTTATTTTTCCTCATGAATGCATCGTGTCCCCGTGCAGCGATTGGTACCGTGGACACAATATCAGCACCAGAACTTTCTACAATAAGTCCTACTCCACCTGTCCCAAATTTTGCCGATCCTATATTAGCAACCAGTGCAAATGGTCCTCTCTTTAGATTTGCCATCCCTACAGCCAATAATAATAATATCTCACCAATCACCACTACTTCAACAACACTCTACATTGGCCCTGTAATTACCAGTACTACTCAAACAAGCAATAATTCACCAACAGCGGTCATTAATGTTTCAACAAGCCACTCTGCAGCTCTGACCAACACCTTAAGAACTACTTCCATCCCAACAGTCCTTTCTACTAATCCGATAACGACTGCTGCTCCCAGAACAACAACCATTACTGTCTTTGAGATCAATACTACACACTCAGCAACTTCCTCTCGCCAAGTAGTGTCTTCTGTTGTCCCAACAACAACCACTACCCCGAGCATCACTTCTACAACTCCATCTTCTGCTCTGAGGTCAGCCACTAATTCCTCTTTGTCAGGAGCCCTTTCAGTCCACTGCAGAGTGGCAGCCATTACTGTCACTCTTGCGAAAGCTTTTCTGGTGAGTGCAAAAATCCCAGAGGGTGCTCTGTACTTGGGCATGCCGGAGTGTGGAGTCAATGGAGGCAACGCCTCCCACGTTCAGATGACTGTGGCGTGGAATGAGTGTGACACCAGGCTCGTGCATGTAAGTCTCAGTACCTGAACACTCGGCTGGTGATGGCCATTTTCATCATTCTCATAAACCAGAATGCACAATCTCCAAGGGCAACCCGTCTGTTGTCTTTCGTTTTCTTTCCAGAATGAAACTACGTACACAGCATCTGTGAAGTTGTTCAACAGCATGGATCCGTACACAGCCGAAGGTGGCGCTGTAGAGGTTCCGAGAGTCAGGCTGGAAGTCCCCATCATGTGTACCTACATGACGAGCATGTTGATTTCTGCAAACTTTGGCTCCATGGGGTATGATTAATCTTAAAGCCATGGTTGCTCTACTAAAACTACCCAGAGTTTTTTGTCCTCTCATTGTAAAGTGTCCATAAAACAAGCCAACATTTCTTAACAGATTAGGGGGAAAACAGCGACTCATAGAATAATTCAGATTAAATACATAAAATAACATCTTGTACGATCTGTAGGCCCTGAAGGGCCTTCTTGTCCACCAACATTGCAGTTGGAATACCAACCCAACTGCGATGTTGGGTTGGTATTCCAAGAGACACTATGTCAACACATTCAACCCCAGCAATAGTTGAGAAGGTAGTGATGGAAAATAATGTGTGTTTCTGATTCCTCAGAATGTCTACTCTCTACCAGGTGTATTTCATAAACACAGTGGTGAGGTAACATGATCTGAACCCAGAGAAATTTAAATGCTGGGCACCGTCTTCTCTACATGTGTGCTGAGGAGTGCATGCACCAATGGTCATCATTTCTGTGTTATACACATTTTTACCAGGTTGTTGTCTGCACTCGTCCTTTAGGTGTCTAATGTACTCTCTATACAGTTATCATTCAAAAGGACCAAGTGGATATTAAATTAAGTATACCCAATGCTTTGATAATGGCTATAAAACCTTGTGATCAGGTTTTTCTCAGTGTGAAAAGCAAGGGACTGAGCACACAACCAGGAGGAGTCCCCTCATGTAGCTGGATAGAGTTGGAGATCATAATTCAGATACCGACAGACTGGGATCTCAAGGAAGTTCAGCATCAAATGACAGTGTTGGTGATCAGGCCAACCAGGATAGAATCCTCCATTACTTGTAGGGGAATGGTGGAGCTCGCTTCCAAGCTGGCTAAAGTCACAGACATGGCAAAAGTCTCTGTCCTCTGTCCAGAGACATGATAGATATGTAGTATCTATTACCACCATAATAGCTAGTAAGACATAGCAAGTCTTTTTAGAATAAGAAACGTCACTCCTTGTTGACATGAAATATATGCATCCATATTCACAAATGAGAATTTTAAGACGTTTACTTGAATAACTAAATTCACAAAGCGAAGCAGATTAATTCCACACATGATGCTTTCAAGCGTTTATTTCTGCTAATCCTAATTTTCTGCTTACAGCTCATGAAAACATGGCATTTAAACTGAGAATATTACATCTGACTGATAATGTAATACGGTAACGTGGGCTTAATGAAAAGCATATTTAATATCTGATTACATTAGATTTTCACAGGATACTTTAAATCTGATAAACAAGCCTCATAAGGACACATTCTGATTGAATATGGTTGTTTATATAAAAGTGTACATCTTTGCAAGAGTGCTTAAAATATTTTTATGTGAACGGTTTTACAAACTGTGACTTAATTTTATACACACACTGTTGCCAGAGAACTACTTGGAAGAATTAAAAAGATGTTTATTATGAAAATAAAAGACTGCTTCTTAACTGATTCTCCCCTGAAAGTCTCAACCTTGAAAAGTGGTAGACTGCTAAATTTATGTGGTCTGGGTCTGCAGGTCATGTTGAACAATATTGCCAACAGCGCCCTCTTGAGGTTCAATGTCTTATTTGAAAATTTGCTCAAAGGTGGCTTTGATTTGAAATACATTTCTCACTACTCAGATAGTAGAGGAGTGTGGGTTAAACTTATTCCACCCACTTGCAGATTTTGTGTTCAACTCGGCTTCCTAGCTCGCTCATTTAAATACGTGCAAACGCTCTCAAAGTGTTCAAATCTTTGCGAATAACTTGCAATAGGAAGTGAACTCATCCCAGCTGCGTCTCCCGTTTGTCTCCAGGTATAACATGATCAAAGACGTGATCACGGGTCTGGGGTCGTTCCAGGTGGCGGTGCAGCTGATGAACGGTACGGCGCCTTTGCCCCACAACTACAGCCTGTCCCCGGAGCAGGCCGTGGTGGTGGAGGTCAGCCTGAAAAACACCTCGGAGCAAATGAAAGTGGTCATCAACAAGTGCTGGGCCACTCCCACCCAGAGCCCGGCCGACCCGAACAGCCACACCTTCCTGGAGAACAGGTCTGCCGCGGCACAATCACTGCTCTATCCACATGTTGGAGAACATCGACTCTATCCCTCTCTAAGTACTAATGCTGCCTTTGTTTACCTCCGATATAAGTTTATATTCCATAGATGTCACTTTATCCGAATGCCTAAGTTAGATTTTACTTAAGTGTTTGGTTCTTTTATCCAAATGCAAATCAGTGTTTTTAAAACTCTCATGAACTGCCAAAAGCAACAATTAGGCAAACTCCCACTTATTGCATGTCCACAAGGTTGTGTTTTCAAATTGCTTAATGTATGGGGCAGTTCCATTATATCCATTTTACCCCATTGATAGTTAAAAAAAAAACCAATAAAAAACAACAACAATAAATAAATCATAAAAGAGCTAGTGTTTTAAAACACTAGCTCTACTATCTTTACTATCCTCTACTATCTTATTTTATGAAAAGAGGCTTTCACACGTCTAAAACCTGCCTTTTCCCAGAATCACTGATCAGTGTGACAGATCAGTGTGACAGTCACCGTTTACCCAGGGACCAGGCGTTTAAAAGAGCGACAGAAAACCAGGTTCCTAATCGACAGCCTGATTTTTAATGAGCGTTCATGTCGCAGGGTGACTAAAACCACATAGTCCAGGTCAAATATCCAAGTGAAGCTCATTCCTGCGAAGCCAAAGCTAAATGGGCCTCTCTTCGCTCCGTCGTCTCCACAGCTGCCCTCTGAACGTTTACACCAAAGTGCTGACGAACGGCAACTCCACCACCTCCCGGGTGTCGGTGCAGATCTTCTCCTTTGTGAACCTGAACGTCATCTACCTGCACTGCAAGGTCCAGATCTGCGTCCAGGTCGGATCCGACGCCTGCGTTCCAGTGAGTGCCGCCGATTGAGTCACTTTCATAAGATACGGCCTGACGGGCCCAACATCAGACTCATCAGGACAGAAGCATGCAGTGCAGCAGGATACGGGGCATTCAAAGAACACGGCGTAATAATCTCATGCTTTCTTCCAGGACTGTTCACAGAGAACGGCTCGGACTGGAAACACGATCGGAACGAGTGTTGGATCATCCGGGCCTATACTTAGATTAAGTGAAGGTGAATGCTTTTATACCGTCTATTCAATGAAAAGCTGTGGGCAGTGTTGGTATGTTAAACAGCCACAATACATCGTTACCTCTGCGCAGAGAAGCTTAAGATAAATCCACCTTTACTTGCTGTAGAATAATCTACTTGTAGTCTGACATGCTGAGAGTAAATCTTTGAATTTTTCAGTGTGAAATCCTGCTGCAGGCTCCCTGTGGGTCCATAGCAGATAGAAAAAAAGTAGTAAATATTTGGCACAAAAAAAAAACAAAAAACTGGACATTTGAGTTTTAAAAGTAAAAGAAAGATAAAAAAAAAACACTTTTGAAAAACCAATTTTACAATTTCGATGTAAACTTTTATTTCACATCATTTCAGAGTCCCTGGAGGAGAAGCTCAACACCATCCACATAGTCGGCCTCTCCTGCCTCGGGGTGGGCCTGTGCCTCTGCTTCATCGTGGGATTCGTCTGCCTGCTTTATTGTCAGAGGAACCGCATCGGACACTACAGCTTCAACGTCAAACCCAAGGAGGAAAACTTCACCTACCTTGTTTTTAACACTTAGCGTGGGTAGTGGAGAGGGGTGTGGGGGGGGACCAGCTCCAGGCCTCAAGAACTGGTTTTAGTTCCACAGAGTCCCGCTAATTAATCACCATTCGCTTCAGGTGTGTTTGCGACAGTTCAAGAGCTAAAACACGCAGGATTACCGGCGCTTGCTAACTGACTTTGAACGCAACTTTGAACACGCGTAGCAATTACAGAACTCTGCCACTAGGGGTCAGTGTTGGTATTTATGTCCGAGCTCACTTTGCGTTTGAACCTATTTTTAGTCGCCTTCACCAGACTAAGTATACTCAAGCAAGGAAAAAAAATTAAATGTTAATTATTTTTTTTAAAAAAGGAACTGTGATTGAATTTTAAAAAATATTTAAATGGAGCCTTTATGACTTTATAAAAGTTAACATTTGTCCTAAACAGGTTTGGAATCATGACAGGAAAAAAATATCACGCCGCAGGCTTGTTCATTAAATATGAGAATTCAATTATATTCCGTACGCAAACTGCTGCGCTCACATTCAACTATGGTGATGACCTCAAAGGAAACTTGCAAAAATATTAACATGAACCTGACGCTTCAATAAAATCAAATCATTCCGCACGTCCGATTAATTGGTCACGGCTGAACTTTGTGGTTCCTGCTCCTCGGTTAATCGGATCAGTTGCCGAGCTGAGATGTCGAGCGGAGATGATGAGGAAGATCCAGCGTCTCTCCAGGCACACTTCCCATAATCCCTCATTGCTGAGTGCCAGGTCATAAAAGCGGCCCCTGGATCCACGGTTGAGGGGGTAAGTAGAGGCTTTCTCCGTGAAGGGGAGGCCCCTGGAGAAAGGCTTTTTTTTTTACCATCTATTGCCCCACCTCCACATTAACCCATTCAGCCTTCCTCTCAAAAACCTGGCAACCAATCTGCATGGCAACAACTCGGAACAGGGAAAGAGGGGCCTTAGCCAGTAGAGGGAGACTGAAGAGCAGGGAACGAGTGCAGAAAATTGGCAGAAATGTGCCTTTATTGCTGCAGATTCCCTTTTCCTTCTTCGTGTCTGTGGATGTGCTGCTGGGATTGTGGAAAACAGCAAATATTTAATAGTTTAAATAATTCACAATCCTCGTACACCAAAGAGGACAAGGCCACGTGGAAGACGGAAAACAATTGTCCTGGGAGGATTTGCTGCGTCCCTCCGTCCGGCCCATGGGAGCAGCAGGGTGTGTTGAAGGAACAAGGCTGATTCTGAATGGAGTGAAACGCAGACTGCTCTGTAAGAGCTGCAACGTGACCCAGTTCTACCCTCTCTTTCTCGTTTTCCCGCCTCCCCACCTCCAGTCTGCCTCCATCCTCCATACATCCAGTTCAAGGAGGCTCAGACACATTCATCAGGTTTTTATTGAGCGTTGGCTGTATGTGCGCCTGCATGGGGATTTTCTCTCGTATAGGCCATTACTTTTTAAACTCTGTGATTTCAATCACCCACTGAACCCACAGATCTGCAGGGACTCAATGCTAAATAAACATGGGTAAGCTAAAGCAGTAAAGGTAGGCTAAACTAGCATAGGTAAGCTAAAGTACCATTGATAAGCAAAAGTAGCAGTAGTAAGCTAAAGCAGAATGGATAAGCTACAGCAGCAAGGTTAACTAAAGAACTATAGGTAAGCTAAAGTAGCATCCATAAGCTGAAGTAGCATGGGTACACTAAAGCAGCCTGGGTAAGCTAAAGCAGTAAAGGTAGGCTAAAGTAGCATAGATAAGCTAAAGTACCATTGATAAGCAAAAGTAGCAGTAGTCAGCTAAAGCAGAATGGGTAAGCTAAAGCAGCAAGGTTAACTAAAGAACTATAGGTAAGCTAAAGTAGCATAGATAAGCTAAAGTACCACTGATAAGCAAAAGTAGCAGTAGTAAGCTAAAGCAGAATGAGTAAGCTAAAGCAGCAAGGTTAACTAAAGAACTATAGGTAAGCTAAAGTAGCATAGATAAGCTAAAGTACCATTGATAAGCTAAAGTAGCACTGGTAAGCTAAAGTAGCATGGTTAGGCTAAAGTAGCATAGATAAGCTACAGTAGCATGAGTAAGTTAAAGTAGCATTGGTAAGCTAAAGTAGCTTGGGTAGGTTAAAGTAGCTTTGGTAAGCTAAAGTAGCATGGTTAAGCTACAGTAGCATGGGTAAGCTAAAGTAGCATCGGTAACAATCTGAATACTTTTGAGGGTTGATCAGCAAGCTTTGTGCCAAATATGGATTTCTGCCTCACTTTGAGGTTTCAGTGCAAATCAGAGAGAATTGAATTGCGATAGCAACATTAACTTTAAATTAAACAACAAAAAAAAAAAATGAAAATCTACATGGCATTGAAGCATATGTGAAGTAATACCTATCTGTATTTTATTTATTAAACAGAAAAATCAAAGAAAATGCTGCTGGGTGATGCGTTTTATGTCCAAATAAAGAGGGAGCTCGCAGTAGTCTTCATGTCATAACAATAGCAACAACACGGCAATTTCAAACCTTAGCTGTGGGGATGTGAATTATAATGAGAGTCTCAGGAAGATGGCTGCCTGGCTGATTAAGACTGACACATGGGGCTCCACCCCGTCCAAACGTTCATCAGAGACAAGAGCACAGCACAGCAATCTGCTCCATCAGAGGAAGCTGTGATGAAGCCCCGTCCCAGTTGAGACACTGTCGGTCTGTGACCTTGTGGGACTGCTCTGAACGGGTCAGAAGTACTGAGAAGTGGCCTTCTGCTTTGTGTGCTTCGGGTTTTTGGCAGCGGCAATTACGTTTTCCTCCCAGGTTTGAATGCACTAAACCAGGGGTGTCAAACTCAAAATACTGTGGGCCAAACCTTTAAATTGAACAAAGTCGCGGGCCAAGGTTGAACAAATGAATCTTTTAATATGGACCCAAACAAGTTCTAATATAACAATAAATATTGAACAAGCAAAGCTTATCTAACTTAAAAGTGCAGGTGTGCAATTGAGTTGCTAATAATAATAAAACATATTATTATAATAAATAAAATATAATAAATAAAATTTAATATATGAAATAAAATATTAAACATATTAAATAAAATTTAAATAAAAATTGAAGCCTCCTTTCTGACCTAAATGTCAAAATTAGGTTTGTACACAGGCTAATAAATTTGAAAATAAATCATTAAATAAACTATGAATAAACCATTCAGGCCTTGGCGTAACAAGAAAAGGTGCATAGAAAACTTATTTATTGCTCATTTTGCGCCACACTGATCTACTCTGATCACTAAAACATATGTTAAAAGAATCTGTCTAAAACACGATCTATCAGCACTAACATGGTTAATATAATAAACGAGGCACTACGCAGCGGTACACAACCATTTTTTTTCTTTTTAGAAATGTATGACAAGTGCCGCCTCTCATTAGGAAGGCAACAGCGGTTACTGCTGGGCGGTAAAATGTAAATACCTGCAAAACTCCTGACGGTGTAACTCTAAATGTGTTTTGGATCAAGCAGGAACCACATGTCAGTGTAACCAATGAACAGCGTCGGGCATCGAGCTGCCTTCAGGGACAGTCGGAAATTACGGTTTTCCTGGCAAATCTTTGCCGATCTCATAAGTATTATATTTTAAAATTACCATTTCCAGGGGGTGGCACTAGGGGTGGCCAGGGCTCTGTTGGGGGTGTTGAGATTCTTAAAACCAATGTCTCAGACAAAGTGTGTTATCACAAAAGCAGAAGCGAATGCCAAATGCTTACCAAGAGATCCACGGGATGACATTCAGTAATAGGTCAAGTAAACATTCCCAGAACTTTTTCAGAAGTACAAATGAAATGAAACTTGTAGAACATTCTTTCTCACAAAAAGAAAAGTGAGAGATGTAGAGCAGAAACACTTATCTGTTAAGATAACCCATAAGTTCTCCAGCAGTCCTTTCTAATAAGATACTAGCAGCTTAATGTACCCAATGTTCCCCAATGCTAACTTTAAAACACACTGAGATGATACCTGGAATGATCTTTTTAGTTGGACGATGATGACAGACAGGTGGCAGTGGGGGGCAGAAAAAAAAACAACTAAATGCCAAGGGGAGCTCTGGCTCGACCTCGAGTATTGAAAGCAGCCACTCAGCCCTCTCAGAAGACCTGTTAATACTGAAAACTATTTTTTAACTCTCAACACTTCTTCAAACAAGGCCTCATATGTTTTACCCTTCATGTGAATATGGGCCAGAATCTCTTAGAAAAAGTGTTTCGGACACTTTGCAGAATCTATGCCATAAAGAACAACTGGGTCAAATCTCAAAATCAGCACAAGAAAACAAGCTGAGAGTTCCACCGTAACTCACGATTACTTTAGTTACAAAATAATCCATCAGTTATTCTGGTGATTAATCAGATGAAATAAACCGACAAATTCTGCATTTTTTTCACATTAAAATATCCAAAAAAGTAAAAGGACTCAATTCAAATAAGAAAATAAACATTTTATTGAAGAAAAATATAAACATTTGTAGCAAAGGATGCACCTGCAACTAAAAGCATACTTCTAAGCTAGGCCCTTTCACTTGACTTAACATCAATACAGTATATACATATAAAGGCGTGTCTATGGGACAGTTATGTATTTAACGGCCAAATATGGGACGACTCCCTATTTTACGGGATGGGCGGCGATCCTATTCAGGGTTGCTGAGATACAGTTTTAAGGGCGCTGGAGCGGAAAACCACAAACGCAAAAGTTCAATCACATAGAAATCTGCTGTTAATCTCTTCATGTTAAATAAATAAAAAGTATGACTTATTATTGAAGTATTTAGTCGTTATTTCAGCTTGACTCATGCAGAACTGATCTGATCGTTTCCATACCAACAATCAGAAGCGAGACCTTGCCTCAGACCTCCAGTGACCTCACTGATGAGGTCATAAGAGACATCATGTACATCACAATAGATCAAAGAAGTTCTAAAGCTTGCATGTCTTGAGCGCCAAAATTGAGCCCATAAAGTTCTGTCAGACACTCAAATCAGCAGCAGCAAAAATGTCGAAGTGCTCCAAGAAAATCCATTTTCCGTGCCTTGAGCCACTAATCTCACTTGACTCCAGCGATGAAGAATTGACTAAAGTACGCGAGGATGAGTTGAGTGAATCTGACTCAGAACTGGAGCAGGAAGCCCAGATTATTCCTGTGACAGCGGGGGAAATCAAAGATATGCAGAGACGGCTGCAAGATTCATTGGAAGAACAAGAGCTGCTAAGGAAGAAGGTTGCAGATAGTGAGATATGCATAGAAGCACTAAAACGGGAATTGAGAAAAGAACACCACAGACGTCACAGAAAAGTTGAAGATACGTCACCTGAGTCATCTTTCATTCCACCACCTCCGAAGGACAATGACTCTGTGTGGAACACTTTTTGGAAAAGGTTGTCCCATCAATTTGACGATTACTTTGGAGATGTACTCGTCCAGCCAGAGGACCATTGTAAAGAAAGTGGACAAACTGAGTCCTAAGAATTTAGAAGAAAACATGAAACGGGCAGAACGAGATGCCATACCGTTACAAAATCTGTGTAATAACCTGGATGCCCTGTGTAATTGGACTTCTGGACACCTGTCTTTATTTTGGTTTGTCACATACCTCTACACAGCATGGCATGGCTGGACCATCCCCATGTTGCTGCTGCTATTAATTCTCCGCCTTTCTTTGAATTATTTAATTTCCAAAGGCTGGAATATTAACTGGAGCATCGTCCCGGAGTTGACTGAGCCACTGGGACTTCCAAAGGCACATCCGTCATGGAGAGAGAAGCTCCATCAGGTTCAGGACGTTCTTCATCAAGCCCAGAACCTGTTTGGACTTCTGGCCGACTCCCTCGAGAAGGGAAAAAATCTGTTGATGTGGGTCAAGCCAGACACGACGTTAAAGTTCTACATTTTACTGTGGGTGTTCTTTTTCTTTTCGTGCTTTTACCGTATCAGATGATGGGATCCATCTTAGTTTTTTCTGCCGGCTTAAAGTTCTTCATCGTTGACTTCATCTTTAACACTTACCCGAACTTAAAGAAGCGTTACGACACCTTTGGATTTTTCTGGGAAAGATTACCCATCGACTCTGAGCTGCAAGATCACAAAGACGACAAGCGCCACAGCCTGTTTGCTGCAACAAGGGCTCGACTGAGCAGCTTCACTGCTGCTCACTTCAGAAACGGTGGCAGCCTGTTCCATTTCATGAAAAAGAAAAGACCATTTCATGAAATGTTTAACATCCCAGAGTCTGAGCAACCTCTGCCTGAGTTTAAGACCGGCTGGCATTGCTGTATGGTGAATAGAGACAGGAATATAACATCAAAAGAATTCTGCGGTTATGGGGTCCTCTATGTCACCGAGAACTATTTGTGTTTTAAGAACTACATAAATAAGTTCCATACAGTTATAAAATTAACAGACATCACAGACTTCAAGAGATATAAACTTGTACCAGGACTGCCCGGCTCAGGTAGGGGGATCAATAGCAACGGCAGCCACCAAGAAGCCTCTGTTGTTCACTCTATGATACACAGCAAACGGGCGTATCAAGCCATCTCCTCCCCAGATGAGAAAGGTGTTTGAAGAGGCAGCTCTGCAGTGTGCAAATATAGAGTGACTTGCACTCTGGTGCTGCAGCTACTTGGGAGGAGCACCAGGAGGCGACGACTCGGGAGGAGCAACAGGAGGCGACGAGGGAACACTGGGACGACTAAGAGGCGACGACTCGGGAGGAGCAACAGGAGGCGACGAGGGAACACTGGGACGACTAAGAGGCGACGACTCGGGAGGAGCACCAGGAGGCGACGACGCGGGAGGAGCACCAGGAGGCGACGACGCGGGAGGAGCACCAGGAGGCGACGACGGGAGGAGCACCAGGAGGCGACGACTCGGGAGGAGCACCAGGAGGCGACGACTCGGGAGGAGCATCAGGAGGCGACGAGGAAACACTGGGACGACTAGGAGGCGACGACGCGGAAGGAACACCAGGATATATATATATATATATTATATATATATATATATATATATATATATATATATGCTACCCGGGTAGCTACAACATAGCATTCAGATCTGAAAACTGAACTGAAACATAATCAAAGGAAAAGGAACCCTTGAACTTAACTGACTTGACTTAGGACTCCTCGAGGAAAATATTGACTATTTTGTTCTGTTCGTATTATTGTTAAAATGTGTAATAAATATGTGTTTTGTTCAAACTCTTTGTTTCACTTGCTCCTCCTGAGATGAACCTAGTTTCTGAAACGCTAGTTGATCATAAAGATTCATATTCACTGATTCTCTTGTCGTATGTGACATACCAGGTTAGTAGACCTTACACACACACATATATATATATATATATATATATATATATATATATATATATACACACAGTAAGTTTGGTCAATTTCAGAAAAAAAAAGTGCTCGACAGAACCAAACCAAAGCATCTAGTAAAAAAAAGAAAATTAACCTAAAAATGTTGAGATTCTTAAAACCAATGTCTCAGACAAAGTGTGTTATCACAAAAGCAGAAGCGAATGCCAAATGCTTACCAAGAGATCCACGGGATGACAATAGGTCAAGTAAACATTCCCAGAACTTTTTCAGAAGTACAAATGAAATGAAACTTGTAGAACATTCTTTCTCACAAAAAGAAAAGTGAGAGATGTAGAGCAGAAACACTTATCTGATAAGATAACCCATAAGTTCTCCAGCAGTCCTTTCTAATAAGATACTAGCAGCTTAATGTGCCCAATGTTCCCCAATGCTAACTTTAAAAACACACTGAGATGATACCTGGAATGATCTTTTTAGTTGGACGATGATGACAGACAGGTGGCAGTGGGGGGCAGAAAAAAAAACAACTAAATGCCAAGGGGAGCACTGGCTCGACCTCGAGTATTGAAAGCAGCCTCAGCCCTCGCAGAAGACCTGTTAATACTGAAAACTATTTTTTAACTCTCAACACTTCTTCAAACAAGGCCTCATATGTTTTACCCTTCATGTGAATATGGGCCAGAATCTCTTAGAAAAAGTGTTTCGGACACTTTGCAGAATCTATGCCATAAAGAACAACTGGGTCAAATCTCAAAATCAGCACAAGAAAACAAGCTGAGAGTTCCACCGTAACTCACGATTACTTTAGTTACAAAATAATCCATCAGTTATTCTGGTGATTAATCAGATGAAATAAACCAACAAATTCTGCATTTTTTTCACATTAAAATATCCAAAAAAGTAAAAGGACTCAATTCAAATAAGAAAATAAACATTTTATTGAAGAAAAATATAAACATTTGTAGCAAAGGATGCACCTGCAACTAAAAGAATACTTCTAAGCTAGGCCCTTTCACTTGACTTAACATCAATACAGTACATATACATATAAAGGCGTGTCTATGGGACAGTTATGTATTTAACGGCCAAATATGGGACGACTCCCTATTTTACGGGATGGGCGGCGATCCTATTCAGGGTTGCTGAGATACAGTTTTAAGGGCGCTGGAGCGGAAAACCACAAACGCAAAAGTTCAATCACATAGAAATCTGCTGTTAATCTCTTCATGTTAAATAAATAAAAAAAGTATGACTTATTATTGAAGTATTTAGTCGTTATTTCAGCTTGACTCATGCAGAACCGATCTGATCGTTTCCATACCAACGATCAGAAGCGAGACCT